GAGGTGGGGGGAGAGAGAGAGGGGGGGAGAAAGAGAGGGAGAGAGAGAGAGAGAGAGAGAGAGAGAGAGGGGTGATTCTTGGCTCTGAATACATGTGCATATACTGTACATGGTATAATACCAACAAAAAGACAATTTTCAAACACAGATCGCACAGCAGAATCATGTTCCTTTATGTTGGGCGGTCGCGGCTATTATACAACAGAAGAACCCCATTGAACCACCAGCCCCGCTGTTCCACCAACTTCATGGTCAATTTCATATTATATATATAAATTATATATAATATATTGTGTATACATTAACATGTTTTTTTCTTAGTCTCAATGATTTTTTATATAATGCGCTCCAATTTTATTATGTTTGAGAAAAATGAGACGAAAATCTATTAATATTATCTCAATCTGTTAAAAAAATCACATGGCATTCGAATGGCTCCGCCAGGCTTCGAATAGTTTAAAAGTCATGAATGTGGAATTGTAAAGTAAAGTCGAATGGGCACAGCTCTAGTTTTTACACCCAACTTTCCACGGAAACATAGGTCTGTGATTGGTCAGGTGATATGTGGGGGGAAGGGGGGGGGGGAGCTGCAATGTCTTTTGATTGGTCACTCGAAAGCTTCTTTATTTAAGAGATGCTCAACACATTTGGTGAATGCTGTAGAACACTAGTTAGACCTCTGTAAGATTAGAGATTGGTCAAGTAATCAGCTGCGCTCGAAGAACTTATAACATACTTGTTCAATGAATCACAAGAGAAAAGTCTCTCGGAATGTCTGATTCTGATATCATCCATTTTACAGAGTTGCAATAGATATTAGGCAGCCGGGAGTGGTCGCTTGGAAAGCTACGAGGCTGAGCACTTTTCCTTACTATCATCAACAGTTTCCTTTACCTGTCCCCTGCATATCAGTAGAGTGAGTCCATCTATCTGCTTTTCTCCCCACCCATTCAATGCCTTTGTTACTTTGCATCCATAATTCATAACCGCTGTCAGGGAATCCTTCACAAGACAGTCACGTTTCGTCACAAGTGACCCCCATTCCCCCTAGGGAGGTCACTAAAATATTAAGGAAATGAGGTAATTGCGTGCACCTTCATAAAGGCCAACTCGTATTAACACACGCTAAGGAGACCTCCCGAGCAGCATGTGGGAAGGTGGAGAATATTGTAGTGCTTTACACATTCAAAAAAGAAACAAAAACAAAAAACAACTGCACCACAAGCTGTATAAAGCAAAGGGAAGAAATCATTATCAAGATAAGTTTTAATGCAATCTTTCACCTCTCTCTGGTTACTATTTCTCATAAAAAAGTCTAACATAACATACCACAACACTAACAAAAACAACCACTTATTTTACTTTTTTATCTTCAGTCATAAAGTACATGCACTGCTAGAATCATTTTTGTCACAAGTCAAATAGAAACAACAGCAGTAAATGAAAGCACTTTGAAACAACACTAAAAATAAGTCCGAAATTCTCTCATTATAACACAATCACATACACTCATCTCTCATTCTCCCTTCCGTTTTGTTTTTTCTTGAATTTCTTTCACTCTTTTCTCCTCTATTTCCTTTTCTGCTTTTTTCCATTCATCACTGAAGGCATCAAAAAACTTGATCAAGAAAGAGTTTGTCTTGTTGACAGACTGATCGAACTGTTGTTTGCCTTTATCCACTGAATGTTGTCCTTCCTGCTTCAGTCTGTTTACCATATCGGATTCTTTCAGTTTTTCTAAGTTATCTTCTCCTGTAGAAGACAAAACAAAAAAAGGATTAGTTCAGGCTGGCCACAAAGCTCTGTCAAACTATTCATCTACAAAATCAATAAGAGAATAGAGAGTTTCTGGTAAGTTGTACTGATTCTTTTCATTTCACTTCATCTCAATTCACTATCTTGCTTTTTTTCCAGCTAAAATCAAAGAAAAAACATTGTCAGTGACACCTATGGTATCCCACCTGACTGAGAAGAACATAAGGGAAGAGAGGGTATGGAAGTAATATATATAGATCTATCAACCTCAGAGAGGGTGCCTTATTCATCCTTATTGTCATAGCATAAAACAGAATAGATGATACTATAGCCTGTAGCAGAGTACCTTCTAAAAACATCTTTATTGTTTGTAAAATCATCCCTTGGCAGAGATGCTAGTGTCCATGCAAATGTAGAAAGAAGAAAAATCATAGTCATAAAAAAGAGTGTTTCTCACACAGATGCATCACTGAACTCAGCTCGATTTTTTAAGAATGAAATTAATGACTTTTGAACTCATCCTAAAATGCTGTACTAGTATTGTTTTATTCTTCTTTTCAGGGGGATAAAATTTGGAATGACATACTTTTTATACATACATATATATATATATATATATAGATCTAGATCTATATTTTTAAAAAAATATAAAAAATATATATATATATTTATATATTTATTTATACATTTATATATAAATAAATAAATATATATGAGTTCCATCTAGAGCAAACAAAAACATTTGAATGCCAAAAAGCTACTAGAAAAAGGTCCTTGTTTGTTATGTCTGGTTAAAGTGATTTTTTTTTTTTGACTCTATGATCTATGAATGGACTTTACTGTAAATTAAAATAAATCCTGTGTGAGAATAGGGTAAACAACAAACACTCACCAATTTCTTTGCCTTTGTGGAAAAAGTAAGCTGTCAACTGTGCAGCCCGTCTGATGGGGTAACTGTCACTTAGCTGATGGAATACAAATATTTAAAGTAATGTTACAACAGTGCTACAAGTGGCTTTTAGTTGCTCCAATCTACCCTTGTTATCTTTGGGATATTTTTAAAAGCAAACATATAAAATAATATATATATAATGTTTACGGCATGCAACGGGTCTGCAAAACATGTTGTTTGGGTTAAAAATTTGATTTTTAACCATGTCTATTTTTGGGTACCTATCCCTAAAGAATCCATAGCGCTCTTTTTTTTTTTTCATTCTAAAAAAAAAAAGACAAGAATTCACTTTTTAGAGGCTTTTTTTCCAGAGGGCAACGTTTTCAAAAGTTGGCACGTTTTCTTCAAATTAGCTCATATAATTGGACCATGACAACAACCATGTGTCTCTGTGTTACCCTAACATGTTTGGTAACGTTGTGCTCCCAACCTCATCTTATTTCAAGCCAACAAATTATCAAGATGATAAAGATTTATGTTTTTGGCAGTTTAGCATAATACGGAAGACACAGGGCTCCTTTTCTTCTAAATTTTGGTTTTCTAACTAAACCTCGTTGTTAAAAATACTGACGTCAATACTCAGCGGCAGAATATACGATCACTGCTGTTTCTTATTTTGATATATACAGCCGTTTGAACTGCTTTCACTGATGAAACCGTCTGATTCACTTCTATTTCACAAGACATAATTCTTGTTTCTGACCCCTCTATTTCCGTAGGCAACAGAGCAGGTAAATTTAAATAGTAAGTTCCCCTTTTTGAACGTGCATTAGAACGATCTAAGAAGTAGATCTAGTCTTCATTCTTACAATTTCCTTTCACATGTATTTTCCTTGTGTGCCATTATTTTGTAAGGAATGAGGGAGAAAAAGAGGGGGGTGGGAGGGGGGGGGGGAGACAGAGAGAGAGAGAGAGAGAGAAAGAGAGAGAGAGAGAGAGAGAACGAGAACGAGAACGAGAACGAGAACGAGACACAGAGTTCACAGAGTCACAGAGAGAGAGAGAGAGAGAGAGAGAGAGAGAGAGAGAGAGAGAGAGAGAGAGAGAGAGAGAGAGAGAGAGAGAGAGAGAGAGAGAGAGAGAGAGAGAGAAAGAGACAGACAGACAGACAGACAGACAGACAGACCAACAGACAGACAGACAGACAGACAGACAGCAGGGTTCCTGCAGCCTCCTTGTATTCAAGGAGTCCTTGAAAACTCGTTGAATTTGAGGAACCTTATTGAAAACTTCTTAAATTATGTCAGATCAAGATCAGACAGGAACACAGGGCGACTGCCAACTGCCCAGGCCCCGGGAATCCCGGTGGCCTCTGGAATTACTCGGGAATTTGAAAAAAAGATTGCTGAGACACGGGAATTTGAAGAAATCTGTAAATTGCCCCCTCGAAAGACCCGAGAACAAAATCCGATAACGTCCTTGAGTTCATTTTGGCTGGTCGCGATTGAGATATAATATTCATTCGGCTTTTCCCGGCCCGAGAGTACCGTCATAGAGAATGCCAAAACTTAAGCGGCTGAAGATCGACTCAGACAGGCGCCAGTAGGTGTCTGCTTTACTCCACATAGAGGGCGCCTAAGGGCGATAACATAGAGAATGCCGAAACTTCCCTTGCATTTCTGATTTAACAGAGATCCGATCTGATACAACAGGAATTTTTCTCTGGTCCCACCATCCCTGTTATATCAGGCTACCACTGTATAATATATAATTATACATCTTTTTATTTATATGCCTATATATATATATATATATATATATATATATATATATATATATATATATATATATATATATACACCCCTACATACTTATAAACATATCTTTTCAAAATTCAACAATACAACAATGGGTAGCAGTTTGCCATCAAACAAATCTATCCTAGGATAGTATCTAGACTCTATAGGGACAGACGTGTGTGTCGGTATCTAACAACAGGAACGGTGAACGAGAATACGGCCGCAAGGTTTGCAGTGACAAGAATATATTGGCGCCATTCGGCCCTCTGAAGTGGGACGCAGTGCCAAAGAAGTCAGTTTGTCGTTGAAGAGTTGAACTTCACCTTTCGAAAATTTCTGTTTACAAAATTTTAGTGCACTTAACTTGATTCGAAGGCATGTCATATTTCGATGTACGGTGTAGTATATATACCAAGCCATTTCCAGTTCCCAATCAAGGGAACAGATAAAAATATGTCGATGGTTTCTGGGGCGTCAATCTAATAAAAGTTCAATCATGGAAAGAGTGGTTCCATGGTGAAGTGTGTTTGTGTGTGCATGTGGGTATTAGTGCAATCTCTGAGCGCGCGTGTGTGTGTGTTTGTGTGTGTGTGTGTGTGGGGGGGGGGGGGGTGCGTTTATAACTATGGTGACTACGCAGGGACATTTTTAATATCCTATTTAAGCTACAAACTTTAAAATTGGCACAAAGATGCTGTATAGTCTGTTTTGTGCTCCCATGCGAGTATTTTGCGAAATATGGATTACTTTAAAAAAATATTCCCGATTCTGTGTCACTTTTTCCTTTTTTTTTCATATATTGATATTATTGTTGTTTTTCTTAACAGAAAAAAATCCCAGCTAAGGATCATACATAATAGGTATGTGTATTTGTGCGTCAAGTTTGAGGTTTAAATTCCAGTATTGTCTGTGGAAAACGTCTGTCCCCGTAACAGGGCAAAAAATCTAAGATGGCCGCTACGGAGAACAACTTTTTAATAATAAAACTTTTAGAATTCCGTCATAATTCTTCTACATAAAATAATTAACCTACATCACCTTTAAAAATTGAAAAAAAATCAAATCCCTTGAAAATTCCTCATATCATGAAGGCTACATCCAAGTTTTTTTGCTTTTTTTCCCCCCTTTTCTTTAAATCCTGAAGTACCGGTATCACTTCAAGCAATCCAAGTTTAAGCGTTGTCTAACCACTACACTCCCCCCCCACCCCCTCCACTCCTGTACTCAATAAGTCCTGAAAAACACTTAAAGCGGTGTGCACGATCTTTAGAGACCCTGACAACCGACGGTCCCTGACACATATGGTACTTATAAGAGGTCAAGTCAGGTGATACAAACAAGAAGCATTTCAACAGTTTTACTGACAGGTCTTGAGGATGGGCCTGACTAACTTTAACTCCGACGAAGCATGTTTGTTAAGCAATGGCAGAACAACGAAGAGTATTGATCATAGCGAGTCATAATTAAACAGTTATCAGACTGTCATCACCAGAAAATCCTGAATGTTAACAAAAGCGAAAGAAAATCTTGAGAATACCCAAGTCAGAATTCCAAATCAATACTTCTCTGATTATAGTTGAAATAACATACATATATACCGGTATAAGTAAATATATATACATATATATATTACTATGTGTGTGTGCGAGTCAAACACTCAATCTGGCACTAATATTTTAGAAAAAAAAAAGCCTTCAGAGTTCCTCATACTAAAAGTCCAACCAGTGCTTTCAGTGCAAAAGAAAGCAGAAAACAGAGCCAACAAATGATTTTAAAAAATATAATTCACACAACTGAAGAAATCAAGATGTTGAGATATGGAGTGAAAAATTGAGAAAATAAATCCCAATTAAATCGGGATGAGTGGCAGGTCATAACCCTCCCTTCCCCCGATATATCCAACTTTCCATCAATGTCTCACACACCCAATCTTCCCTAATGCAGCTGGTAACTTACAAATAGTACAGATCAAAGAAACACACTAAGACATGACATGAAACTTACTTTTCTAATTATCTCCTCATTGTTCATGAGCATTCTAAAGGAAGAAAGAAAACAAAAAACATTACATTATTATCGTCAAGCTAGTCAAATTGCAAAGCACACATTTATGGAAACAAGTTAAAATACAGTCTGGCCTCAGGTTTCATTGCGGCCAGAACTGTTGAAATGCTGGCCAACTGGAATGCAGAAATTTTTCTACACTGTATATATCATATCTAGCTAATTCTAAAAAATTCAATCATGCAAGATGCAGATCTTTCTTCAATACTGAACTATAAAAACGTCATAGTCTACACACACTCCATGACACCCCCCCTCTCCCCTATACCTACAGTTGCACCCTGGCTTATCCCTCTTCCAGACCTCAAAATCACCTTTCTAACTTCATTCTGCCTCTGACCATATTCAGCAAACTTGGTTTTATGGAATCTGACTCGACTCAGAATATCATTGCCAGATGTGCATCGCATGGGTACAGTATCAAAAGTGCTACAGTATGTCGAAATTTTAAAAATCAGCATGTAGCTTTCTTCCAGTCAGTATCTGCTTGTCTATCATTTATAATAGCCAGTAAATGTGAGCAAGGCAGGGAAATATATCGATCTTTGAAAATGTACCCTCCCGTAAAACGTATTTATTTTAATGGCTTTCGAAGAATCAGCTACATGTATAGTACATGTATAATCACAAATATATACAGATAAAGATAAGTAGGGTGGATCAAGTGAAATTTGTTCTTAAAAAACTCAAATGTCAAAATCGAATCCTTAATTTATCCAGATGAAACAGATGTCATCCGTCAATCAAATTATAAATTAACTATAACAACAACAAAAAATACCTTAGTAACTGCCTGAGAGGCATCCTGCTCAGTCGAAACGTGTCTCTCTGTTACTGCTGTTGATAAAGTATTAAAGAAAAATAGGTAAATTATAACTTTCACTCCCACACACATGCAATGCTTTTGAGAGTCCACAAACGGCTGTATTTTTATGCTGCAATCAGAAGACATCTGGTCACTGAAACTGTTGCAAATCGGATCAATTATTTTCAAGAAAATTTCAAATCTAATTGTAAAACATTAAATTATCATTAATTATGGGGAAAACAGGGGGGCATGCCTCCAGACCATTTCATCTCCCCCCCCCCTCAATTATTTTACCTCAGGCCTCAGGAAGCATTATACTTATACAATTAATAGCACACCCCCCCCCCCTCCCCTCGCCCCCTCCCCCGGACTGGTCCAAAGAGCAGAAATTACTAGACAATTTTTACGAAGTGTATAGTTTTTGAATAAAAAAACTCCCAATACAAAGGGAACAAAAGGGAAAGACCAGCTGTCAGATTTCTGCAATTCCGAGATAATTGAAAAACAAGCTTTCGTTTAATAAAGACTTATTACTCTTTTTAAACAAAAAACCAATGATCTCTCCACTGTTTACATTGACTTCAAGTATGACCATTTGTGTTGACAATGAGAAATTTTCACAGTCCTCATGTAATGGGTGTTTCGGTGAAAGCACAATAGAAGAATTAGGTCGCAAACTGACACTGCTGGTTTTTCCATTGTGAGCTGTTGGCAAGGTCTCCATCTTCTAGGAAGTCAATGAATTATGAGTTTCTTTACTCATTTGTGAATACAAACAAAACTAAATGATTCAAACAAAAAAATTGCACACCATTTGGTATTAAATACTAGATCTATTTTATCTAATATTCATGCTTGGATGACGACTGTGAGTTATCAGATTCTTGTGTGGCACTTGGTCCTCCAGCATGGGGCAATTCTGAGAAAAGCTGTCGTGCCAGAACACATATATATATTTAAGACCTTCACGTCTGCATATTTGGCAGCTTTGATGGTCACCGGCTTCATAATGATTGTGGTGTGAAACGGACCATTCAAGCACTCTCTATACCGCGTTAGCTGTGGATGGGCCTATGAGATGCAGATTTCAAGCAGAGGTCAAGAGGGTATAAGATAAGGCTGTCTCCTGCCTTGATAAGGCAGGAGACACGGTAGTTCGATTTAAGGTTTTGACCTTCTGGAATACAGCTTTTGTCATCCCCACTATCTGGAGGAGCGAATGTTTCCGAAGGCTGTCTTGAATAGGTCTACCCAACTGGCTGGCATATCTACTGTGACCTTCTCATTCACCACTACCATGTCTTTGTCGCATTCCATGTGGCTGTGGCCTCATACTGGAAACGAGATTTTCACTGGTTGACAACAACACAATAGAGAAACCAGACCACCATCCAGTTTTTGTTGTGGCCTGTGCACATGTAGCAGCATACTGGCCACATCATTTCCACCCTCTTTGCTGACTGTCTCGTAACAGTACAGGTGTAATTGTTTCATCACAGAGAGAGTAGATTTTAAAGGAAGAAAGATATCAGCCAACAATTGTACACATCGTTTGAAGTTCTTCGAAAAATTAAAGGTTAGCACAACATGGGTGCTCGATGAATGATTTTCCTGTTTAGCAGCGCATATAAGACCAATGTGGCGGTTCGAGCCTCAGCTCGGTCCGACAGTGTCCTTCGGAAAGGTACCTTTACATGAATTTCCTATTTGGCTCGGTCTTTTCGGGGATGGACGAAAAACTTGGAGGTCCCACCTGTTAAATAACCTAATAGTCTTGACAGGGGTATTAAACCTACACCATTAAATTTTCACCATTTTTCACTGAAATATGGCCACTGATTAGCCATAAGGGACACAACAAAGAAAAGTATGTTTGACATCGCTGGTTTTTCCGCTGTCAACATTCTGACACTGCTAGTTCTTCAATTGTTGGCTATATTTTGTAACTCTCACAGAGACTAGCAGAGCCTGTTTTTCCGTATGTGACTTAGGTGGACTAAAACAGACCCAATCAGGCATCACACTGGGACAATAACCCAGAAAATGAAAAAAACAGACATCGCTGGTCTTTCCCTTGTGCCCTTCAAAAAAACAAACATAATATAATTAACCTCTAGCAATGGATACAGTCATTGTCAGTGGTAAGGTATAATCCGCTTATATATCGACATGCTTTGGGAAGTGGATTTGATGTCGATAAAAATATCGAAAAATGAAAATATAAAGCCAAAGAAGAAAAAACAAGGGGAGGTAAGCGATAAAAAGACAACACTTTTTAAGCTGGTTGCTTCCCTTGATTCTTACACAACTATACAGTGTAACCAGAAAGGGTTTACAGTAATAGAGAGGTGACACTCGTGGTGGCGCTCCATAACAACACTGCATTGTTTCGCGTATCGCCCGGCGCGGGGCGCGAAAACACTTACGCGCGGTGATCGCCGCCACGGCGATGCTCAGGGATGCTGTTATGTTATGACAAAATGTAGTACCGTTCTCTCGCTCTGTCTATTTGTCTGTCTCTCTGCCTGTCCGTCTGTCTGTCTGTATGTCTCTCTCTCCCACTCTCTCCCTCTTTCGTTCTGTCTGTCTGTCCCTGTCTCTTTCTCCCCCCCCCCCCCCTCTCTCTCTCTGTCTCCCTTTCTGTCTCTCTTTCTCCCCACTCTCGCTCTGTCTACAATATATGTCAGTCTGTCAATCTGTTTCTCTGTCTCTGTTTCTGTCTGTCTGTGTGTCTATCTATCTGTCTGTCTGTCTGTCTGTCTCTCTCTCTCGCACACACACATTTATATTAAACACAATTTCAGATCATGGAAAAACACATGAAGCAATAATGATAGACCTACCACTTAAAGTCTTTAATAGGATCCCTAACACCTTCCATCCCCCATCCCATCCCTCTCCCCCCCCCCCCCCCCCCCCTAGATCTAGATCTATAGTCTATAGGCTATAGATCTAGATCTAGATATAGATCTATATATAATATGAAAGTGGCTATTCTCACCCGCCCGGAAGTTCTCGCAAGATCTACTCCTCCCCTCTTCTCTCTCTCTCTGTTTCTTTCTGAATACTGTCTATCGGTGTGGACGATCAAATTGACCAAAACAAAGTTAAAAAATGATGTTAAAACACAAAAGTAAATTAATTTGGTTGTCTACAAAGATGCTACGGCTATTTAACTTTTCGAATCGAGCCGAACTACGCGGGTCGCCATTTTGTTTTGTTCTCTCTCTTTCACTCTCTCACTCACTCTCTCTCCACTGCCCACAGACAAAATTGTACGCTTTTAGTAGGCTACAAGTACAGTTGTAATGGAACGTTTGTTCACAGCACAGAATTCTACAATTTTTCTCTTATCACAGTGTAGAATTCTGTGGTTTAGGGTGAACGCAAAATTTGTTGACACGCGCACCGGGTGAGAATAGCCACAAGACCCGCCTGCACTATTCTCACCCCGGGTGAGAATAGAGGTGGCCATATAATATATTATTTATAATACTTAGAGTTAGAGGCCTAATCGAATAAAAATAGGGAATTAAAAAAAGCTTTGTAATGACCATGGACAAGTACTCAGTCTTCAACTCCAAGCTCCATGGCTCCCTGTCTACTTAAAAAAAGAACAGAACTTGGTCAGATGTTCCAGTTACTTTGACAAAGAATGCTTCCCCTCTGGTCTGTTGGCCTTCAACCCCAGCCACACTTTCGTCAGACAAGTAGCATAAACAGTAAACAATCCATAGGCCTGGACGACACAAGGTTGGCAACGAGAGTGACTTCCCCTCACGGCGCCGCGAAGAAGCTATTATTCCGACATGACAGAAAAGATTCCGACATTTCTGAATAGGCCATAATATAACATGATGTATTGCATGTTGTAACAAAAATGGAAAACTAGGTGTAAAAATCAATAAAAATAATTTCTCCGACATACAACACTGGATCTAAATATAACGTATCTCTTTTTTTAGTTGTTGTTATTGTTTTGTTGTTGTTGCGGTTGTTAATGGTTGTTGTTAAATTGTTGTTGTGGTTATAATAATACGTTATTGTGGTTATTGTGTGTTGTTATTGCTGTTGAATTGTTGTTGTTGTTGTTGTTGTTGGTGGTGGTGGTGGTGCTATCGCCAGAACTGAGTTTGATCTCTGTGTCATTTTTGTATAGATTTTAATAATTCTATTGTTATATTATTTTAAAGAGATAATATTATGCACGATTGCACAACAAGTATTATATAGTAGGCTAATAGGCCTACACACACACACACACACACACACACACACACACACACACACACACACACACACACACACACACACACACTCGTACACACTCACACACGCGCCCGCACACACAATCATTAATATATAAGCTCTCTCTGTTTTTGCCCCCCCCCCCCCTCTCTCTCTCTAAAATATCTCCTCTCTCTCGATCTCTCTCTCTCTCTCTCTCTCCCCTCTCTCTCTCTCTCTCTCTCTCTCTCTCTCTCTCTCTCTCTCTCTCTCTCTCTCTCTCTCTCTCTCTGAGTCTCTATCTCCCACTTAATTTCTCTCTGTCACGATCTCGGCCTCTCTCGACACCCCCTTATAAGAGATGAGAGAGAGAGAGAGAGAGAGAGGGAGAGAGAGAGAAGAGTGGAGAGAGATAGAGAGCAGAGCAGAGAGAGAGAGATATCTCTTTCTCTCTCTCTCTCTCTCTCTCTCTCTCTCTCTCTCTCTCCTCCTCCTCCTCCTCCTCCCCTCTCTATCTATCTCTCTCTCTCTCTCTCTCTCTCTCTCTCTCTCTCTCTCCCTCTGTCTGTTTGTTTGTCTGTCTGCCTGCTGAGTCTCTCTTTCTCTCTTGCATGGATTTTAAAAAATAAATTCCTGGTGCAACATTCATTCAGTCAGCGCTGTCCCTCGCTAACCCTATCTATCGAGTTATTCATGAGTATATGTCATCTAGTGGGTGGTAGATCTTACTTTTATTCTTTCCCTTCTCTTGTTTCTGTTTGCCAGACTTATCCCCACCCCTCTCATGCACTAATAACTAAAAACCATTATCGTGTTGATGTGGTTCCCGGTACTCAAAACAAAAATTCGACAATTGTCTCGAGACACCCGTCCATGAATCGTGTATTTAGTTTCTAAAGTAATGTAACCGCACGACAATTGAACCAGGCATTGTCGATACCTTGTATATCAAATATTCGATAATTGTACGGACAAAATCCCCTCAAAGTGACCTAGGCTAGACTTAGAATAGGCTAATCTTACTAGGGCTTGGATAGAATAGATCTAATATAAGCCAAGACCTAGATCTAGTATTTTAAAAAATCAGTATTTGTGCTTTTAACAAAAAATGTTCCGCCCCAAGGAAGAAAGACACCATATAGAGACCAGGCAATGCAAACATTTGTTGTTGGGTCTCTGCATTAACGCTTACAAAAAAATTTGACTTTTAAATACATAATATATATATATATATATATATATATATATATATATATATATATATATATATATTATAATATATATAGATCTAGATCTACTGTGGGGTCAGTGGGTACCAGAAGATGTTCGGGAAAATTAAAACCCTCAAAACATACATAGGCCTAGGCTATATAGACATTGATAGGCTTATTTTAAGTTATAAGCACCATGCCAGCGCCTCAAACTCAAAGAGCGAACATTCATGTTATAGATCTTGATCTAATCTATATTTCTCAAAATATATTATTACAGATTTACCTTTAGAACTTTATTATAATTTAGCGTATTTCGTAAAAGAACAAAAGTATGGTACACAGTGCATTTGCCTGTAGGCCTAGCCGATCAAACAATATTAATAATAAAATTATTGCTCCGTTGATCAAAACGGTGCTTGGCCGAGGCTACCTGGTGGGCCTAACTTGTTCCAAATCAAGTCCAAATATAGTATCGATTCCAAGCTAACATACTCTCTGTCGACTACCCTGTGCTTGCCACCAGCGCCATTTGCCAGTGTTGATGTTTGGTACCTTGTGTGTGTGCCACAAACCACAGACCGTATCTGGGGCCTGGTTCTTTGACAGCCTTGACGGTCACAAGGCATGCTACATTCATCTGACGGGTAAAGTTCAGAACCATATGCTTTTGCTTTTGATAATAAAAGCGTGAGGTATGAGTCCATGCACAACAACAAAGGCAATGATGATGATGACGAAGTTCAAAGTAAACACCTTCTCCTCGTCTCACAATGCACATTGAACTTGAACTTGAAGTTGAAGTTCTACACATCTGAAGTTGGTTTTGGAATCTTATTCTAGATCTAAAATCTAGAAGATCTAGAAATCTAGATCTTGTAATGTAACTCTGGCAGTGGTTGTTCTTGAACTTGCACTGTACTCTTACTGATTGGACAGAGGGATGAGCGACAGTGACTCTTTTTTACTTTTAATAATAAAAATTGAAAGTGGCTATTCTCACCCTCCCGGAAGTTCTCGCAAGATCAACTCCTCCCCTCTTCTCTCTCTCTCTCTTTCTGAATACTGTCTACCGGTGTGGACGATCAAATTGACCAAAAACAAAGTTAAAAAATGATGTTAAAACACAAAAGTAAATTAATTTGGTTGTCTACAAAGATGCTACGGCTATTTAACTTTTCGAATCGAGCCGAACTACGCGGGTCGCCATTTTGTTTTGTTCTCTCTCTTTCACTCTCTCACTCTCTCTCTCTCCACTGCCCACAGACAAAATTGTACGCTTTTAGTAGGCTACAAGTACAGTTGTAATGGAACGTTTGTTCACAGTCACAGCACAGAATTCTACAATTTTTCTCTTATCACAGTGTAGAATTCTGTGGTTTAGGGTGAACGCAAAATTTGTTGACACGCGCACCGGGTGAGAATAGCCACAAGACCTGCCTGCACTATTCTCACCCCGGGTGAGAATAGAGGTGGCCTCTCTGGTAACCGGGAACAAACTACAAAGTCGAAAGGTGCAGTAGCCTACAGACCCGGTAGAGGAAATCTTTTGAGATTTCGGAAAGTTTCAGCGCCCTCTTGGCTCAGGGTAGACTTTGGTTATTCTAGATCTATTGCCGAGGTCTAGATCTAGACAGACGGACATAAATTAGGTAGCGTAAACGGCCTCGCGGGCACTCGCGGCCTTCCGACCGCATGGTATCGGTGAAATCGGGGTAATTCTGGTCGCTGTTTCTTTGCTCTTTCGCTATAAAACCCCAAATGCCATACACCTTGTAAAAGTTCAGGTTTTCCTCGTTACAATGGTGTAAATTGTTGTCTGATTATTAGGAGCTGGAGAATCGCCGAGGAAAGATAAGATAAGATACATCTTTATTGTCCAGATCCTGGCACATTATAAATTTGGTGTTCCACCACGAGTACACACACACATACACACACGCACACACAAACACACACACGTGCACACACATGCACACACAAGTAGGCTTACAATCACATGCATAAATATTTATAGCAAATATAAACAATAATAATCGTAAGCTAGATACACACTCAATGTTATTTTGATGCATACTCTCAGGTCGTAAGTACACTAAACAAGATGGTTAAGATGGAAGCATTTTGATAGATGATGGTAAAAATGACCATCTTTCTTTGTTACAGATTAGAAGCAGTCAGATCTACTACCCATTTCGTAGTTATTTTGCTATAATTAAAATTTTGGTGTACACATATTACGATTTTGCAAAAAAGGGGTGTCGGGATGAGTCCATTTTATTTATAGCATCGTATCACAACATGGGATCTTTAAGAATATATGTCGGCAGCGTGACTAAATGATTTCAAAGCTTTTTATGATGACTTTAGACCATACCAACCGTAAAAGATAAGTTAATTTAATCTAGCATGCCGTACAATTAAAAATTCTTTTTCCCCGTTGAGACGCGAACACCCCGAGACAAGATAACCTCGCTTCGGAATACCCCCATTGCGATGTTACAGGGGAGCAGAGAGAAAAACAACTGGATGCGCGTGCCCGCCATTGCCCTATTTCAAGTGACCAATGAACGGGCCCGGAATAGTCATGCGGGGATTTTTAGGTCACATACATTTGCCGCGAGGATGAGGGGAAAATGGCCGGTCTCCGTGCGAAGCCGCGTTGGATAGGGGGGGTCTAAACAACTCCTTGACACAGAACGTTCAAATTTGAGCACACTATAGAGGTTAGATGGATCTATTACCACCTCGGCGTTGAAATTCAAACTCCTTATAGTTTTCGGTGTACCCGATACGAAAGTGTTCTCGCCACCAAAAGTATAGGTTAATTTATGTGTACGAACTTCAATGTCCACATATCATTAGTTTGCCCTATTTTTTGATTGGTTGCCGAGTTTCATTCGGATTGGTTCGGAAATAGAGCAGATCGAGGTTGACAAAGTTAGTCACCTACGCTTCGGCCGGGTTCGCAAAATCACCCGCAAACACAGACCAAATTTTCGCCGCGCGGGAAAGCTCGATTGGCATTGCTACTATTAGAATAAAGTAATTAGCTTGGAATTGTTTTGCTTCTGCGAGACTCAGAAAACGTGACCCCGCACGCGGGGTATACTACAGTATAGAGCTGGCTCGCTCGGCGCGGGGGCCGGTGCGGCGCCGGTCGGGTCAACGCTCAGTGTTTTTGTCGAAATAATGACAGATCATCGTGTTTGAGGCGATATATAATACTGATTTGTAATGATAAGATAAGATAAGATATATCTTTATTGTCCAGATCCTGGCACATTGGTTTGGTGTTCCACCACGAGTACACACACACACACACACACACACACACACACGTACACACACATGCACACACAAGTAGGCTTACAATCACATGCAATATAAATGGGCAGCAATATAAACAATTATAATCGTAAGCTAGATACGATGTCACAGTCTTGAAAAATTATTTTTTTTATAGTGATTGTACTCTGTTAATGTGGAGATGTTTAGTGCACTTGGTACTCTTTTATTATAGATATCTGTCAAACATGGGGTTGCAGCCTGTGACTGACTTCAATAACAAATTCGGAGTGTCTACGTACACGGTAACCAGGCACCTAGTGTCACCCTAGTCTCAGTAACTACATACACGGTAACTGGAATGAAAATAAATCAATATTTGTCCTGTGCTGTCAACTTGCTGGAAAAAAAGAAGAGAAAGTCATACAAGCGTCTTGTCGGGCTCGCCATCGTGACCGGTCAGTGAACCTGCGCGTGTGCATCACATTGTGAGTACCGGTTGGGGGTCAGCAAAGTTCATTCAAAGTCTGTGCACTGCGAAGTATAGGGCTCCGGAATGGGGGGATTATTGATTTTTTTTAAAGTACAGCCGGGGGAGGTGTGGGGATGAAGGCAACACTGGATGACAAAAGCTGAACTTTGAGTTCTGGACTGCCCGGTTACTGTGTACGTGACACTGAGACTACGTGCCCGGTTGCCGGTTACCGTTTACGTAGATATTGAGGCTACATGCCAGGTTACTGTGTACCTGACACTGAGACTGCGTGTCTGGTTGCCGGTTACCGTGTACGCAGACACTCAGTAACAAATTTGATCAAATTTTAAACAACTACCATTTTCTTAAAAAATTGACTGAGAGGTTAAAGAATGGTACCAAAATGCTCAGTGGATAGGCCTTTCCAATGGAACAGATAAATTTAGCATACAGCTACTTTGAAAATTTAGTTTCTGGTACCTACATAAAATAAATCATAGATCTAGTTTCAAGGCCTAAATCTAGATGAAGATTGCGAATGTCTTTTTGATGAATATGCTCGTTTTTCCTCCGTTTTGGAGTTGGAGGAATCGATAAGACAATTTGAAGAAAAGAACAAAAAATGTCATAGTTTCAATCGAGCAGTCACCCTCTCTATTTCTGTACAGTTCCATTGCCCCTCTTTTTCTGCCTGCCCCCCCCCCCCTCTTTCCTTCTCTCTCTCTCTCTCTCTCTCTCTGTCTGTCTCCTCTTTCTCTCTTTGTTTGTCTCTTTCTTTCTTTCTCTCCCTCCTACTATCTCACTCTATCTCTATAGATTTCTTCCTGTTAACTGGGGCATGTGATGTTTGCTGGCACTTCCCCCTGTTCTCTACCCCTTCCTCTCTCTCTGTATCTCTCTCTCTCTCCCTCCCTCTCTCCCTCCCTCTCTCTCCCTCTCTCTCTCTCTCTCTCTCTCTCTGTCTCTCTCTCTCTCTTTGTCTCTCTCTCTCTCTTTCTGAAATCACAAAAGATTTCCCCAACCGGGTCTGTATACTTAGTTCTAAGCTCTGAACAGCCGCCGGAGGCTATTTGGACTCTCGAGTACGTATGAGCCATTGCCAAAACTTGGGGAAAAACACACACATCTCACATTAGTGTGCATAAAATGTGATACATTAGCATTTATTCCTCCAAAACTTATACACATGTCAGATGTCAAATATAGGATGTAGAACCAGCATAAAATTAGCAGTTTCAGACCCTGTGTCAGCTTTACAATCTTGAGTTTGTAAATTTTGTGCCAAAAATGTTAGTTTTTTTAGTGATTCCTGGACTGTCATTATGAGCACACCAATGCAAACTTCCAAGAATGTCCAAAATTTAGTATTTTTGGTTTTTTAAAAATTACGTATGCTTTGATTCTGCTATTTGTTATCGAGAAAGGTTCACTTGCTCACTCAAGGAATTGTGTTAATTGTTTGCAAATAAACGAATAATTCTGATCACTTGTGCGTTCGTTGTGTCGTCATGGACTAAGTGTTTCAGAAAACACCATTATTTTTCAGTAGAATCACCATAGCTGGTAGGGTGTGTGTCCATATAATATCCCAGGATTGGCCGTTTTAACCCTAAACGTGTGTAATTCAAGAAAAAGTATGGGATATTATTACATGTAAATTGTGGAATCACTCACAAGGGGCCTGCCAGTGTCAGAACATGTATTCGGTTTTGGTGGAGACACACTCTGACATAAGGCATTTATTTTTTTCTTTTAAAGGTACTGTAAGAACAACATCCCATTAAATGAAATTAACTTTATATGCTATGTTAACACAAAAAATAGAAAACATATCGGAACAATAAGAAAAAAATGTTTGATTAAAACATATCAAAGAGAGAAAAATAAAAATAAAAACAGCAATATAAATAGTCATGTAATGTACTTTTATATATATTTTGCACATGAAAATAACAAGTCATCGTCGTGTCAACAAGTAAGAAAAGACGAAGTGAAGCAGAAGTGAAAAGACTGTGATAGGTCATCAAGGTTAACCACTCTTTGCTTGCCATGTGTCATAAACCCAACCAGGGGTCACATCAGTTCCTTTTAGATTAGAGTGGAGGAAGACCATTTTTTATTTTAACGATTGTGAGCCTTGACATGAGTCACCACCGTAGATTCTTCCCTGCGTTCATCGGTTAAGATCGCTGTTCGCCTTAGATCCCGCATTTCCCTGCCCCCGAAAACCCGGAATATAGGCGAAGACTACTGTATTTGTCTTACCTACTTTCAATTGTAATGTACATTGAGCATCTCGTTCGTTGAGATGAAAATGTGCGAATGTTATCACTTGTGTCATTAATTATTATTTTTATTTTTTATTTTTCGCAGTCTTCATCATGGGTATAGCTGGTCTGAGGAGACTGGGGGTGGTGCAGGTAAACGTACAAAGATGTACCACTCCACCCCAACGGCAACAACCCAGCCGAGCTCAATGAGTACCTGGGACATCGACGGTGGCCTTGCTGCCGACTTCGATGGCTCGCTGTCTGGCCTTGGCACAGAGCTGGGTACAGCCAGTTACAATATGAGGTGAGAGCTGTGTAAATAAAGCCTGACTGGGATTAATTATGAAAATGTAGGAGGAAGAAACAGAGAAACACACCCAAATATAAAAGAATTAACGCTCAAAAGTTTTCAGTGGCATTCTATTAAGTTCAGTGTTGTGTTTCACTTTTCAACAGTCGTTTTTTACGCTTATTATTCAACATGTTTTTCCACAGTGAGGCTTTGCTTGCACTACCAGTCTTCAAGCAGGAAAATCTTGAAAATGGGTAAGTGAAGCTTTTGACCACCATTTGATTTGGTAAAAGTGTAGAACTATAGGATTAATTCCTCATTGTGTATATCTGTCTTCAGAGAAAGTTGCATTTGAAAATAGCAAAATTTGCAAGAAAAATTAACAAAAGTTGCCAAAAAAGTAACAAGGCGTGTATAGCTGAAAAAATTCCATTGAGTTATTGGAAGACATTGTTGGTATGCCCGTCACTCCTCCCCCAAATCTCCCGCTAGGCCGCTGCCCAATCCAGGACGGCAGCCTTGAAAACCCTCTGCCTCCCCCTAAGAGTGTTTCTTCGAAGCCGGTGCGTATGAGCTTCAAAATAAACAAAGCCTTCATAATGGCAGTGCCCACTTGTGGCCTGTATCCAGGAGACAAAGCCCTGCTTCAACCATGGGCTTAACTCATTCGCTACGCCGAGCTGTGCGGTTAAAGTGCTGTCAGTATGAAGCCGTTTCAATTTTAACTTAGATTCTATTCCAATCCACATATCCATGTTAAAATAAAGGTCATAATATAATGATGACTTTCGGGTCAAGCATTCCTCTAAAAATCGGAAATTTAGATTCAGTTTTGAAACGCGATTTCGTAGTTTATTCGACTTTCTTTTATCGCGATGCCAAAATTATAGCCCGGACACCAGTCTTACTAATTTTACACAACAAAATCTATCATTATTTCGCCCACTAAAGACATGTAGGACTCTTTTTTTATAATATTGATATGATTGGACTCGTGGTGCACACAACTCTCAGTATAATACGCAATTAAACAGAACTCAACACCAGAGAACCCAGCACACGACTGTATTTTCAGAACGAACCCAGACACCATAAACAAATTTAAAAAACAATGAAAAACTCATTAGGACCTCAAAAACATACACTTTTCAAAACAAAACATCCAACAATTTCTTTTCCCCGACTCCCTCCGTGGCACCTCACCAAGGCAAAAGTAGGCTTACAGCTTACCACACTCAGCAAAGCAACCACAAACGCCAAATTATTTCAAACAGAATACAAACTTATTGAAAAATACTCTGGTGCGGAGCTAATCTTCACAGATGGCTCTAAATCGAACTCCTGCTGTAGACGCTGCTGTTCTATCTTCAGACAATACACACCAGAGGAGACTTCATCCGGAAGCCTCCATTTTCCCCGCGGAGGCCACTGCCATTAGAAAATTCTCCTTACATATATCAATATCTTTCCTTACCCTCTTTGACTCTCTGTTGTGCATCACTTCACTTACAAACTACACACTTTTACACTCAAAAAGAGTTACGTTACTACAAAAATTACACGCTTTGACTGAAACCGGGAAACGTATCGTGTTCGCATGGCTACCTAGCCATGTGGGCATCAGAGGAAAAGAGCAGGTGGATCTCCTGGCGAAGGAATCCTTGTCCCTTCTGTTGGGATCAACGACGGACTCTCTCCCACAGACTGACTTTCAAAATAAAGTTTAAAAAACTACACTTACAGTCTGTGGGAGACGCATTGGACTAAACAAACCAATAACAAACTACATTTTAAGCCCAACTAGGCCCATGAAGACGTTCGGGCCTCTCCAGAAGAGACTAAGTCATTTTTCCTCGATTGCGCATCTGACACACGTCCCTGACACATGAATACCTCCTTCAGGGAGATGAGAAGTGGTCCTGTGTCGGATGCGACACACACAGATTTTTACCATTGGACACATTTTAACAGAATGTCTAGACTTCGGAGACACCCAAAGGAAATATTTCTAAATTAAATGCAAGCAATTGCAAGATCTGTTTTTCGTCGTTGATCCCAACAGAATCTTTGATTTTATAAAGGCCATTGACAAATGGAATAAGAGCAATGAAAAAGCCATTTTCAACCCTTTGAAAACTTTAAATGTCAATTTTTTTCTGGGCTTCGCTCTGGTCTCCTCAATCGACCTTGCTGGGGGCCTATGCTGGAGGGAAAAAAAGAAAAGCATCTTTTTTAGTTGTATTTGAACTTACCGTAGCATAAGATGTGGAAACTAATTTTTATGATTAGAGTGTGGTGTGCAGCATAGCGCCCCTGTGTTTGACGCCTACGCATCATGATGGCCTATTACAGATTAAAAGTGGTTTTCTAGGATTTAACATTTTGGAAAAAAAATCAATACTTAGTCCACGATGCAGTGATTGCCAGGTTTTTAGCATCACTACACCCCTTGCTCTCTCAGTCCTTCCAGCTCCGGCTTTCAGTATATGATGTCACTGTATGCTCTGCCGTGAGCCTAACTATAAAGGTTTTCTTTAAATAATTTTTTTGTCTTGCATGCTTTTTTAAAATCCGTGATTGCTGAAACCCAAACATGGTTTTGTCAGTTGATGTTCTGGCCTCGCCACAGGCCCAGATCAGGATTCATTTTGTATTTTTAGAGCAAAACTAGTTAAAATTGTTTGTCATACCTAATGTCAGTAAATAATGTTTCAATATAGTTTCTATTGGTGTGGGCTTGGGCTTTTGAAGTCAGTTTTGCATGCAGTCACCCTGCACTCAATTTCACATTCAATACTGAATGATAGGTGCCTTGAATGATAGTCCATAAATGCTTTAAAAAAAAATAATCCCCAAACTCGCCTCATTTCATAAATACAGTCCCCCTCAACTTATGCACACCCAAACACCCCCGTCCCCTCCCCACATACATATACACACGCGAGAGCGTCTGGTTACTATGTGTACCGGGGCAACAGCCATCTTTTTTTTTTTTTCTTCTTTGTCTATGTACTCCCTGATTTGGGGGAAAATACCTGAATTTACCTGAAATGGGAACTTTTAGGTAGGCAGCCCTGATATTGGTATTGCGTCCACAGGTTTCAATATATTCTTGGAGCCGCGACCTCCCCAGCTGTGAAAATGAATGAGGAAACTTTGACTTACTTGAATCAAGGTATCGTATCATTTTCGTAAACTTTGCATTGGTAGACAGTTTTCTCACTGCATGCATGTTCTCAAGATTGTATGCCTAAATGCAAATAAATACTATGAAGTTGGTAAATCTGAAGATGGAAAATTCTTTTTGGGGCTTTACACAATATTAAGGGAACTACACAATACCATAGTTTAAAATCGGAAAGGACTATGAATTATATATCACGATGTGCACCTGTTATGGTTGAATTATTGCTTGCTCTGCAAGGGACCATGATAGATTGAAAAGCCTGTCAAGGATGTTAGTGTGAGGTTGTTATACATCCCCTGTCTTGTTCGTCTGTATTTTGTGCTTTGAGTTTTGTTTTTTAAAAATGCCGTCAAACCTGCCATGACGGCCACCTTTAGAAACGGCCACTTTCCATTCCCAATTTCCCCTCCCCCCCACCCCCCTTGCATTTTTTCTATATAATTTAACTGTGTAAAACGGTCACCTGTTCAATGTAGCAGTGGCCACCTTATTTTATCAACCCACTGTCAAATTTACCTGCCTCAGGCGGCCTGGCAAGGTCACTCATTGCCCAACGCTTTGTCATAAATTTTGAATCGGGGCCCCTCACGCTGTGGACGGGCTGTCATAATTCATTCACCTGTCGTTATTGGTAGTCCTTCCAGTGAATGTTTACCCAAGTTAACCAATGGGCAGCCTAACAATAAATTTTCAACTGCTGGTGAGGGAAGCGGGATCCGTCATAACCTATAAGCCTCGCCCATAACTCATGCACAAATCATGTGTTGTGACTGGTCACTGTTTTGTTTACTTAATCTGTAACAAAGTAACGGTGGATGTTGACGTGAACTTGCGACAGAAGCGTCGCTCGTTCTGACAGGGGTGACGACCCGGGTGTTCGTTTTACCATGGCGCTCGGTCTTCATTGTCTTACTTACGCACCGTTTCGTTTATTTTACCCTTGCGAAAAATCATAACAAAAAGAAAGCTTACTAAAAAACAAATGAACATACTGACAAAAAACCCTTCTTACTCCACCCACCCCCCTTTTTCAAATAAAAGAAAACAAAAACCCTTTTGAATTAGCCTTACGGCAGTCTAAAGTCTGAGACCAGCCCCTGTTTGGACCTCAGAAGAAAATTATTCGCTTTCTTTATTTTTACCAGTCCTGCCTAAGATGGCCACCTGTGTTATATAATAGTTGTAAAGCGCATAGAGCAAGCTCTTGAGCATGGATATGCGCTATATAAATGCAATTATTATTATTATATAGCCACTTTCCTCCTTGACAATGGGTGGCAGTTTTACACTTGGTTGATTAATTTAAAACCCAAATGCAGTTGAACTCGGTCTCTAAGAACTACCTGTCAAAGACAGTTTCCGGTTCAAACGACTGCTTCCCAGTTTCTCCTTTGCGTTTTTTTCTTATATTATAATGAACCACGGAAAACCCCCAGGCAGGGGCGGTGCTACTGACTGAAGTATCTTTTAGGCCATTCCCAAAGGGGGGACATTAACCATGTTCTTATGCACAGTAGAATTGTAATTGTAAATGGGCTGATTCATCGATGTCATGCTCATAACTGTGCCTGAACTTCAACAAGGAAGTGCTGCTTTTTCTTTCCTAATCCTTACTATCGTCATTTTCCTCTACTTCTTTATTTTGTACACTCTTGTGACCCGCTATTTCTGGGGTGCCTTGATAGTCAAAGCAGATTTTGTGCTGTTTAAGCCGGAGGGGAGCAGAGTAAGCCTGATTCCCTGTAAGGGCTTCTCTGTTGACATTCACCCCTTGGCGCTCATATGACCCAATGCAGTTGGAAGGGCTGCAAAACCTCTACTAAAACAAAAAAATAAACGAACCTCGGAAACTGATGCTTTTTCTTTCCTCATCCTTACAATCTTCATTTTTACCTCTACTTCTTTTATATGTTTGTCACTCTCTTGTGAACTACTATTTCCGGGGTGCCTTGATAGTCGAAGCAGGCTTTGTGCTGTTGAGGCGAGAAAAGTGAGCAGAGTAAGCCTGATTCCCTGTTTAGACTTCTCTGTTGTCATCCACCCCTTGGCGCTCATATGACCTTATGCTGTTGCAAGCACCTTAAAACCTTATTAAAATAAACAAATCGACAGCTCTTTTCTTCTCACAATAGGTGGTCATCTTGGACAGGTTTGACTGTATTTGTGATGAAGAGACCTCTGATCATACTTCATGTTCCATTATTTAACAATACTTTAGATGTTATATTTTGTTCTTTCATTTGTATAATAGGCCAGTCCTATGAAATCAAACTGAAAAAACTGGGAGACTTGTCCGAACTTCAAGGCAAGTTCCTGAGGGTGAGTATATGTGGTGATATATATATAGTCCTATGATCTCTTGTTGTGTCTCTTTTCACTTGTAGTCTTGTCTGTGGGTGGTTGGCGGGTGCTCTGGTCTGGTTTGCTCCTTCTTTCCTATCAAACATCTAATCGTCCTGACCTCTCCTCCTTTTTTTGTGTTTGTTACTCTCTTGTAACACCTCTAATCTTCGGCACTTATTGTGTTGCAAGTGCCGTAAAACTGCTAATAAAACTAAAGAGTTTTGTCTGTTATGGCATTTGTGAGTGTTGCTGAGTGTGTCATGTAGCTGTGCTGTGTCCATGTATTATCATCTGTCACTGTCTACCACTCAAAAAAATAGTATGTTATTTGTTTAAGGGGAGGAGCGACCCTTGATTTTGTAGATTTTGAGTCAGGCTATGCGCATTGAGATGTTGGCTGATTTTTGAAGATCGACCAGTTCTTTGTCTAAAACTAACATGGAGACAATTGAAAAGGTCTTTATTCTCCTCGTAAATTGCCTTTGAAAACACGAGGGTGGGTTAATTAATGTAGTGAATTTTCACAATAATTGTCGTTTTTCGCAAAATGTCATTTTTTTGCAGTTTGTTCCCAACTCCTTCCTTAGTTTTCCTCCTCTTGACATGAAGCTTTCAGGAAACATAGATGGTAAGGCTGCCATCAGTGTTGCAGAAAAAAATTAGACTTTTCCATTGGCAAGCGATTACACAACCTAAATTCAGAAAAGCTTTTTTATACTTAAGGAAAATTCTCTTCTTTTTTTTTTTCGTTTGCACTTATTGAAAAAAACTCACTGTTAGGCTGATAGGGTCAGGTTCAGGTATACTCTCACCATATTTGGTCAAATGTGGTCAGTAAATAAGAAAGCCTTAGGGATTTGAAATTCATAGCTATGCCAAAATAAAATTGCGTATCAAGAGATTTTACTATGCCAAACTTATATGCATACTTAGATTTGATCTAGGGCAACAAACATAGAAAATGGTCCTCCAGGGTCGCTCCTCCCGTTAATAAAGCCAAGCTTTTGAGAAAGGCTTGTTCTCCTTACTTTATAACAGTATCTCTTGCAAGTTCAATTTTACTGGCAAGTGAGGGTAAGGTGGACTTCCTAGTGTGATTTTTGCTTTGTTCCTGAGGTTGGTGGTTGTCTTGAGCTCTCGTGTGGTTTGTTCCTTCTTTCTGTTGAACATCTATCGTCCATCTCTATCCTTGCTTCTTTCCTAGTCCTATGAAACATCCGTCGTCTTTATCTCTCCTGTTTTGTATTTGTTACTCTCTTGTAACTCCACTAATCTTTGGCACTTTTGTGACCTAATTTTGTTGCGAGTGCCGCAAAACTTTTATAAAGATATGTCTGTCCTCTTCCTTTTCTTTGTTTGGTATTCTGTAGTAACACCACTAATTTTTGGCACTTAAACGACCCTTTTTTGTTGCAAGTGCCTTAAAACTGACTAAAAATAAACTGAACTGAGGAAAAATTCTTTTGGATGCAAATTTTTTTGTTTTTTGCTTTTTGAGGGGGGTTCCAAAATGTTTTAATTAATTTTTTGTTGTTTTAGTCATATGTGATACCATCATGATTAGAACAGACTTTTGAAACAGTTTATTCTATATGATAAATGTTAATCAACATACTGTTTTGTCAGATAAACAAAATTTAGTGACGCATTAAAATGAAGAAACAAAGTTTTGGATTCAATGAGTTTTGACTTCCTCAGAGTATTGTGAAAGTTTTATTTCATGACCGGAGGCTGCAGTTCATGGAGAAAGAGCAGATTGATTCGTGGAAGCAGATGAGGCCCGGGGAGCGTATCTTAGACATTGGTAGGCTTTGTTGCACAGTCAAACTTGTTAATAAACGTCCACTGTTTGTTGAGGAGAAAAGTGGCTGTTTTAGACAAGTTGCACAGTGACGTTATAGTGTAAAAAAGCATGGGGGGGGGGATGGGAAGTGGTCATTTGTACAGGTCATTGTCGTATACAGGTGGACGTTAAAGCAGGCTTGGCTCTGTTTTGTCATAATGTGTGGATGGATGGCTTGTTTATCGTATTGTCTGACAGTAAACAAATTGAAACTAAACGAAGAAAAGACAGACATCCTTCTTATAAATAATCCACGATTAAATAAAGATCTGGAAAGTGTCAACATTGGTCTATATGGGCATATGACACCTAGTAAAGAAGTTGTCAAGAATCTCAGTGTATATATTGACCACCACTTGTTCATGGGTTCGTTTGTTGGATCTCTGTCCGAATCCCTTTATTTTCAGCGGAATGGCCCTAGGCCTAGTTCGAAAGTACTTAAACGAAGAGACCGCAAAAACATTGGTAAAATCTCTTATCCTATGTAGATTAGACTATTGTAACTCACTCCCAGGCATGTCTGAACAACAAAGATTTGAATCGTTTACAAGTCATTCAAAGCAAAGCCGCTAGACTGATAACAAGATCTAAAAAGAGAGACCATGTCACTGCACTATTAAAAGAACTGCATTGGCTCCCTATAAAAGAAAGAATATTTAAAATCTGTGTCATGTGTTTCAAATGTGTAAATAAAACTGCTCCTTTTTATCTACAAGAACTTATCAGTATATTATATAAGCCAGGGAGAAACTTAAGATCATCAAATGATAACACCCTACTTGTGACACCCGTAAAATCATACAAATCATATAGAGAGAGGTCTTTCTCATATCTTGTGTCCCTTTATGTGGAACAGATTACCCATGGAACTAAGACATACAAGAACACTTGATAGCTTCAAAAGACATCTCGAGCATTTTCCTACAGGCCTATCCTTCGTAAGCTTTTAGCGTTATTTTATTATAGTTGTTCTGTGCCTACGTCTGAATGAAAATAGTGTGTGTGTGTGTGTGTGCGTGCATAAATATATATTGCATGAGAAGAAAGGACGTAGTACAAAGGTTTTGAAAATGGGTATTCCAATGTAAAGCACATTGAGCTACTTTTTTGGAAGTGTGTTATATTAATGTTATGTATTATATTATTATTAGTATTATAATTGAGAGCATAGACCTATATTATCTTCTTATTCTTGTTTGCGCTTGCTTGCTTGATCTCATGGGCAGTTGACTGCTTGTTCTTCAATTTGCAGTGAAACTGGTTTTTATGTATAGCCCCTTGCCTTCAGGCAGCTGCTTTCTGACTTTGAAGGTAGACATGTATTAAACTACTGAAAACAGTGTACTCTATCTTATGCATTTCTGGTTCACTTTGGAATCTACCATTTAAACTAAACGAAGGATGAGAGGGGGAAAGATTCCATGTGTACTGGGACTGAAACGAGACTAATGTTTTGACCTTCTTTGGGACGCAATGGCAAAGCATGCTTTTCCGTGAAGTTGTTTTTTGTTTTGTTTTTAAGCAAAGAGCGACAGCCATGCCAGTGTGTGGTCTTGGAGTGGAAGTCTATGGGCTGATGGTGAATAGAGATGGAGGCAGATGTAATGAAACTGAGAAAGACTTTGGAAAATAATTTTTCATGGTGTATGCTCCCTGAAGAGCTAATTATTTAAGGACATGGCGGGTACATGCTTATGTCTGATCAGCAGCAGAACAAAGTCAGCATTGCAACACATTTCGACCCACCAAACAAAAATCAGAGCCACCAATTTGCATATTTCACAGTATGTATGTTGTTGCCTGCCTTTTAAAGTTTGAGATAAAAAAATTTGGTGAGAATGTTCCTTAAGCTGGTGCCACTAGTAGATCCTACTTAATAAGAATACTCTTTTTTTTTGTATTTGTCTATTTTGCTCTTTCACAGCACTGAATGACTGTTAGTGTGGATGTACTTCTCCTCAAACTCAAATTGACCAGTTAATAAAGTTTTTGTCTTATGTGCCTCCCCTTTGACAGACATTCCCTTGTCCTATGGACTTGTCAATGTGAATATCGACCCGGTACGGCTTCACCAGCTGGAGTTCATCTGGGACCCAACGAAAGAGACGGGTGTGTACGTACGCGTTCACTGCATCTCCACAGAGTTCACGGCCAAGAAACATGGAGGAGAGAAGGGCGTGCCGTTCAGAATACAGGTACTACTGACTCTAGGGTGAACAAAGGAAAAATTCTGGAACCTCTCTTTCCAGTTAGGCCAAGCCGACGGCTCTCTAAAATTCAATTCGTTTGGTGGTTTGACTGACTTGTAGAGAGACCAGTCATTGATAGTTCTCTGTTGACTTCTAGTTCCGATCCTACCTTACTATTAGATCTAGACTAGGTCTAGGTCTAGTTCTGTTTGGATAAATTATTATTTTGACACTATATTTTGTCAGTTGGCGAGTTTCAATTCATTCCCCAGGCAGGCACCAAGGTTGAAAGTTTTCCGGCTCCTGCCGGAATTTCCAGCAACTTGGAACTCATCTGTGGGCCTCCTTCCGGCTACACCGGCCGGACAAGTCTTCCATAGCCGGCGACGTGACAGTCATTTTTATTTCGTTGGCGTGCAACAAATTTCCAGTTTAAAAAAACATATCTGCCGAAGGCTGACACCAGTATTTTCGGTAGGGCTGGGTACTATTCATACCCCCCCCCCCCCCCCGAATAAATAGGTACCTAGTATTCAAAACAACCGAACTCAAAAAAATAAAAGTCTGAAAGCAGGTACCTAGTAAAAAGAGGATGGCTTGCCAGACTCCGGGGGGCCCCAGGAATTTGAGGAAATCTGTAAATTGGCTGTTCCCGGGCCGACAGAACGTTTTACGCGGACAGACGGCTATGGTGGCATGCGGAAGTGTGACGCCATGGCTTGATCGGGAATATCAAGATCTACTTTTGCCCTTTGTTACCACCCAGAACTTGGCTGGTGATAGTCTGACAACATAACATTTGTGACATGCAGGTCGTGCACTATAATCGCTGCGTCGCCATGAAAGTAAATCAATATTTTGTCTCTGTGCCGTCACTTGTGAAAAAATACAAATAAAGCGTCGTCCGATTGTCTGCTCGTCATCGTGACTGGTCAGTGAACCTGCACGTGTTCATGCTACATGATATGGCATTGTGTGAGTACTGGCGGTATTTGGGGTCACCAAAGTTCATTCAAAGTCTGAGCATTTGGAAGCATAGGACTCCAGATATGGTGGGGGGGGGAAGAAATATATTGATTTAAAAAAATACTCTTGGTGGGGATGGTCAGAAGGCAACACCAGAGGATAAAAAAACGTGGAAGCAGATTTTATAATTTTAAAAAAAATCAGAGCTCTCTACAAAGCATGCTGTGGTGCCAGCCGTGTGTGGAATCGGAATTCGTCATACCTTGTAAGCCTTGTTATTGAACTAAAGTGTACGCGTTTCATTGGATGGGTGATAGTAAATTATATCTATATTTAAGCTTTTTGTTCAAGGTTGGCAGATTTTCTGTGTCACTGCATCTTGACCTCTCTCAGTTCTAACACCTCTCGCACTGTCGGAGGGACAGCTTTTTCACACCCCGCTCCCTCCCCGTGGAACGCTTTACCAGTTCATCTACAGGAGTCTACCACTTTATCAAAATTTTAATCAGCACTTAAAACGCACTTGTTTCAGTCCAGCTTCAATCTGTAATTTCCAACATTCCCAATACTAATATATTATTATGTTCTCTCAGTATCTATTATGTTCTCTCAGTACCGTTTATTCATGCTGTTCTGTTCTGTAAGAATTTATGACTGAATTCATCAATGTGTGTGAGAGTGTCTGGGTAAGCTTTGTGGGATTGTCTTTACTCAAGGATGTATGGGGAGAGGAGGAAATGGGGAGGGAGAGAGAGAGAGACAGAGAGAGAGATACTATAGGAGCTGTGCGCTACATATGTTCTTTGTATTATTGTACAGCGCATTGAGCGCTTCTTTGTTGAAATGCGTTATATAAATCATAGCTGCCACTTTCCCGCTAAATAACGGAAACTCCGCTTCATCTAGCTTTTCCTGCTACTTTCCTTCTTCCTCAGCTGGACCGGTCTCGGTCGCAAATTGTGATACTTTTTTTTTTTACACGCGGAAAATGCTGAACCAGGAGTGAGACAAAAACGCAGCCTGCGCATGTCCGCCCGAAGCTTTCTACGTCCGTTCTTCTGTGCCAAGCGCTAGTTTCACATTGTATATTGTGGAGCAACAAAGTGTTGATCGGGCATCGGGACGTTGGCGCGCCGAGTTGTCATTGAAAACGGCAGAAATTCGAGAGAAGTTGATGCAGAATGCCAAAATAAAAGGAGCTGGAATGAAGAAGCAGCCGGTGTGCGACTTGAAAAGCTCATTAGAAAATTGAACAAGCCGCTTGCTGCACTTTGCGTTTAGTGCGATTTAATAAAGAAATCACGGCACTCCTGTACAATTGCGGTCCCGTTTGTTTATGATGGCTATTATTGCTGTGGAAGTGAATCTAGATCATAGATTAGATCTAGGTCTAGATAGCCTCGATAATCTATCTCTAGATATAATCTGGATCTATACATATTTAGATATCTTGATTCTAGATCTAGATTAGATAGCCTTGGCTATAATTTTAATTCAGTTTAGATCTCTAAGTAAGAAACACTACAGGGGCACTAAGTGCAAATGGGACCGCAAGTGTTCAGGAGTGCCGAAATCGCTCAGTACAGCGGCAAAGGTGTTGCCTCCTTAATCCAATACTGCTCTACATCGATGTATAAGTTTAAAGTGAAAGAAATCTTTTTATGAGACACCAGCTAGCAACAAACACTTGATTTTTAGTCACTAAACTGTGTCAAATGCTTGTTAGTCAACTTACTGCCTTGTTCTTTTTTTTTTTTTTTTTTTTCTTTCAAATACATTTTAATTCAGCTGCCTATGGTTAACAAATACATGTATGACAGTTTTCCCTTCCAAAACCATAGGCTAGATTTTCCAGTATATTGCCTCTGGATCTCACTGGTTTTACTCCGGCCTTCGGAGAGAGCGCGCACGCCTTCGCGTGAATTTCCTCCTTTTTTGAAATTCCTGAGTGGCAGCTATGATAAATGCAATGTATTATTTTTATTATTATTATCATTGTCACTTTCACCCATGGCAGTCAGGCACTCAAGATTACTTTGGATGAATCACGAGAACAAGCTTTCATAGGGGGGTGACCATCTTTATTAACAACCGTTCGTTCCCTGCTTGCGAGGTCTTTTCTCAAGACTTTAGGCCAAACATGAATAATATGCCAAATAGCAGAACATAATACCTCGAATATCATTACATCCACTTGTCTAAGACAACCACTTTCCTTCCTCGGCAGTGGGTGGCAGTTTTTGACGATTTTGACAGTGGTTTTTGTGCAAAGTGAGGGCTTACTGACCGATGTGTTTCCCCATGAGTGGTTTGCTCCTTCTAGCCACACAAATATGTATGGTCCTCCATTTTTTGTGTGTATGTTACCCTCTAGTAGTAGCGTTTGGTACTTGTATGTCCTATCTTTGTTGTAAATGCTGTAAGACTCATTACTTAAAAACGAGAATCTTTTCTCAGATGGAGACCTACTCCAACACGGATGAGTCCAAACTCCTGCACGCTGCTTCCTGTCAGATTAAGGTATTCAAGGTAGGTAATCATTCTGTTCAGAATTGTTCAGACTGCTCTTCCAGGAGTTGAATTAGGTGCTCAGGAGGGCAGGCAAAAATTGCCTCGGTGGAGCCTAAAGATCAGAGGGCACTGAGGCAATTTGCTAGGGCACCAAGGCAATCATTTTAGGTGATCATTTTGTTGATTAAAGTTGGTAATACTGGATCGTGCATTACAACGTTCATATTATGAATAACTATACAATTTGTTCTTGCTCTCTACAAAAGTATGGAGTTTCCAGGAAAATTTGTAAAATCATGAATGAAAAAACTAATTAAATCACAGTAAAATCACATAAAAGCAAAAGCACTAAAATCAGTTTTAAATCAAATAATAATCACAATTTCATCTTGGCTTAATTGTCTTTATTAAAAAACAGCGCGCCGATGTGGAGTGCCGCGAGGGGAAAAGGTTAAAATTATGACATTCATTCATTTTCTTAGCATCGGATACTCGTTAAATGTGCTTCTCTGTACTAAGACTAACAATTTTTTGTTTTAGACCCAAGTTAAATATGATTTCTGTCTTGTGTTCAGTCATCATAGTGGTAGTGTGTTTAAGAGGAAGCTTGTGAACAAAGATGGTAACTAGTAGATATTTCATGCATGTTTTTTCTCCCTCTTGCCTGCAGCCCAAGGGAGCAGATCGAAAGCACAAAACTGACCGAGAAAAGATGGAAAAGAGGTCAGAGCAGGAGAAGGTAAGAACGGAGAACCATCGCATTTATGTACCCTGAAGAAGTGGGAGAATGTACAGGCTACTTATGATTTTCATTTCTTTTAGACTTTAGATATAAATTGAATGTAGAATGAAGGTGTTTTGCGTGTCGTCTTTGCTGTTTGGTTTAGTTCTTTTCCCAGATGAGCGGGTGGTTGGCCGGTGCTCTGGTGTGGTTTGCTCCATCTTTCTCTTATCAAATGTCTATCGTGTGATCTCTCCTCCTCCTTTGTCGTGTGAATGTTACAATCTATTCTTGTAACACCTCTAATATTCTTATATGACCTTATTGTGTTGCAAGTGCTGTAAAGCGCTTATAAAAAAATTTTTCCTGGTGTGTAAGCGTACCTAAACAACAAAAGGGGTGATAAGGAGAGATAGGGTTGTGACTACAGAGTAGTAAAAGAAGGAAAAATCTCATTACCAGTCCCCTTAGGGACCGTTCACAAATGATGTCAGCTAAAATTTGGCCAGAAATGACCCTCCCCACTTGTCATCTTCTGTTGTCTGTCCCAAGACAGGACCCCCCCCCCCCCCCCCCACGCCTTCGCATGTACATTTAGATAGAACCTGTTCTAATCTGGCTTCTAGCAGTGTAGCCTATGGGGAGATAACTGTTAATTTTTAGTTTTTATGCCAAAAAATAATATGGTCCAATTTAACTGTGTTAATTTCAGGCCAAGAAAATGTGGTCCATCTTATCTTTTCTTCCTTTCTTTCCTTTTCTCCTCCCCCTCCTCCCCCTCCTCCCCCCCCCCCCCCCAACCTTTTTGGGTATGTTTGTGAAGAAATGACTTAAACATTATAGTAATGGTTTTTGGTTTTTGTTTTTTGTTTCTTTGCAGCTTTTTTTTATATTTTCCCTTCTCTATTTTCTTTATTTGCTGTTTTTCAGGAAAAATATCAACCATCTTATGAGTGCACGGTTCTGACTGAGGTAAAACTTTGTTGTTTTGTGTTTTTTATGTGAAATAGTTTCTTTGTTGAATTTGAACGGACGGTCTGTGTTTGTGGTATTTGGTTTACTGTAAAATCAATGACAAGTTCAACACATTATGTTGCAAATATATGTGTGGTTTGTGGATAGGTTGATTTTTTTTTTTTTGGGGGGGGGGGGGGGGGGGTTGAGAGGGTGGCGAGAGTTTTCTGTTTGTGGGTCCAATTTTGTTACTCTTTTGTTTCTTTGCTGAAGTGTCATGGTTGAGGCAAATTATCCGTGGCATGTTTTTCTCCAAAGTCAATTACAAAGTTTAGAAGGCATGGTTTCTTCCCCCCCCCCCCCATTGATTTTTTTTTTTTTGCGGGGGGGGGGGGGGGGGTTGAGAGGGTGGCGAGAGTTTTCTGTTTGTGGGTCCAATTTTGTTACTCTTTTGTTTCTTTGCTGAAGTGTCATGGTTGAGGCAAATTATCCGTGGCATGTTTTTCTCCAAAGTCAATTACAAGTTTTAGAGGTCATGATCTCTCCCCCCCCCCCCCAACCCCCCTTTTTTTTTCTTGCTTTCTCGTTGTTGTTTTTCTTCATTGTTTCTGCTTTTCTAAGACTTCCTTAACAAAAAAGAAGATAAATGGTAGGTTGGAGGATGCTAGTGATAGTTCCTTTATTTTTCCTAACCTCTTGTGTTTCAGTCCGTCTACCTTGCCTTGTTCCTTCACTAAAGGGCTCTTATTGTGTGAATGGGCTTCTCTTTACTCTCATGGTTGGTTTGCGGGTGCTCTGTTGTTGTTTGATGCTTTTTTCTGTCAAACATCTATCAGTGCTTCCACTCTTCCGTATTTTTACGGAAATCCTGACTTTCTGCCAGTCCGTACTTGGTCCTCCGTCATTATCAGCTCCCTCCATAAAAATCTGCGACAGCGTAGGACTACCGAAATTCTGTAGCAAAAGACCTGTACTTGCCTTTGTATCATCTTGTATAGTATAAGTTACGGATATTTACGGTAACTCTCGGCAATAGTTTGTTACGGTATAGAAACCTGCCAGATTGGGCATTTTCTGCCATTGGCCTTTAATCCGCTATGCCCCATGCGTTCATTGCGGGTTGGACGGCAGTACATTTTGTACCTGCAGATTGATCAAAATCTGGCTAACTTTTTGTGCCACTTTCCTCCTTTCTATCATTCCCTCATTCCATCTGTCTGTCTTTGGATTGTTGTCGGGGCTGGAAAATCTGCTCGTTGATCAAGTTCGACTTGTGATCTTAGAAAACTGCTGTCAGAAAGAAACTTTTTTACAAATTTATTGTCTAGATCTAGAGAAATTATCAATGCGGAAGATTCTACGGCACGGGAACGCGATAAGGGCGGTGATGAAAGAAATTTGTGCTAAAACTACTAAAATCAAGAATAATTCGAAATGGTGTTCCGAGGTTGTGACATGCGACTTTCAGACGTGAAAATTTAGGAAAATTAGGGTATACGCTGGGTAGCAGTATTGGGAAGGTACATATCTATTCATTATTCTCAAGTTTGCCTTCTATCAATGGTGTGATGACAAATTAATTGAATTATAGTAGCAATGGAAGGGGAACCTGCTTTTAAACGTTGCCAGCAATGGAAAGATATGTGTGAAGAAATCAAACAAGACAAAATCTTGGTGAAAAAATAGGTAGTATGGGATGCTGGCAATCTCTTCAAAAAGGCTCCGAAATGCCTTTTCAACCCTCTAACAGTACTAAATTTCAAATTCTTCGGGGGCTTCGCTGTCCCTGGACCTTGCTGGGGGCCCCCAGACCCCCGGCAGAATTTTCCTTACTTTTCAGCTTCAGCTGGTGGAAGCACTGATCTATCTTCCTTATCTCTCGTCCTTCTTTTATATGACCTCATTGTGTTGCAAGTGCCTTAAAACACTTACTAAAACTTAAAATTTTCTTTCCTCTCACTAAACTGAAATACCATTCCTGTCGTACCACTACTCTCACTGTTATACTTAAGTCTCAGCAACAGGACAGTTTGTTGGTGGTTGGCGGGTGCTCTGGTGTGGTTTGCTTCTTCTTTCCTATCAAACATCTATCGTCCTTATCTCCCCTTCTTCTTTTTTATGTTTGTTACTTTCTTGTAACACCTCAAATCTTCTGCGAGCACGGTAAAACCTCTACTAAAACTAAAAAACTACACAGGACAGTTTCTTCTTCGCCGTGTGGATGGTTAGACGACGACAATGGGATATCCTAATTTTTTTCTTTCTCCTCTGTTGCTTCTATATTTCTTATTGCTCTAAAAGTAGATGGTTAGCAAGTGTTCTTATTTGGTTTACTCCTTCTTGCCTGTCAAACATCTACCAACCATATCTAGAGTGTCCTTTGTTTTTGTGTTTGTTACTCTCTTGTAACACCACAGATCTTCAGCACTTATGTGACCTTATTGTGTTGCAAGTGCTGTAACTCTTTTACTTAAACAAAATGCTCTAAACGACGATGTAGGTGTGTTTTTGTTTTCTCAAACAAACTGCGCTCATATGACCTTATGCAGTTGCGAGCGCCGAAAAACCCTTACTAAAACAAACAGAAACAAACTGCATGTGACTGGAATGACCACACTTGTGGGTAGGTGTGAGGGCACCAGTATTAGGTCCTACTTCTTTAAATTTCCCTCTGTTGTTTCTGTCTGTCTTTCTTACTTTTCCCCCAGCATTTAATGACCATTATTGTGTTGATGTGCTTCTCATTATTAAAAGAAAGGATGACCAAAGGGGGTTCTCATGGCCTAAAGGTTTGGGTGTTCGCATCTCATTCAAAGGTGCCGGGTTCGAATCTGGATAGCGCCGGAAAAATTTTCTTCTCTAAAATTGTCTCCTTTTCTGCTCTCTACCAATGTTCTCTCATCTGCTTTCTTTTTCACTTTCTGCCCCCACCCCCTCAGCACCTTTGCTCCCCCTCCTCTGGGTTCCTGACTTTTTCTGCAGCCTTTTAACTGCTACTCCTTGGTTCCTTCTTTCTGCTGTCTTTCAGCCACACCCCTGATCTTCTGGTAGGAAAGATCTAAACCTAGCCCTCTTGGACAAGGGCGAAAAATCTCTGAGGCCTCGTGTGAAAGCTAGGTGGTCTAAAATCGATAAGAGTAGGCTTCGGCTGCTACCCGGACAAAATTCAAAATTTCCTACCGACTGAAAATGTTTAATGCGTCCCGCACGCTCATAAGACTTTATGCAGTTGCGAGCGCCGTAAAACACTTAGCAACAAATTTTTTTTTAAAATAAAGAAAAAAAGAATGACCAAACTATTTGTTCCTCTCCCCTCCCCTCCCTCCAGGTTCCAAGAGACCAGATCATGCAGACTAATTCCAGTTTCAACAAAAGCCAGTCTCTGTCCAGTAGTTTTGCCGAGCTGAAGTAAGTGCTTCAAGACTGACTTTTTAAAATCTTATCTTCAAGACTTGCTGTTTTATTTTCAAGACTGGGTTTTAAAAATCTTCTCAGGAGTCTTGTTTTGGCCTGTCTTGGCAATCATGTTTGTCTCTAAGCTTGAGTTCGCAAGTCTATGGTTTGGCGCTACCAGAGACCTAGCAATGTAAACGAGACAGTAGAGCTTGCGACGCTGTCCGTGACAACCAGTGCTACACGCAGCGTAAGCGAAGAGAGCTGTTACTTTCTATTTATAGCCTGGGGTGGTAAACATACTCACGTTAGGCCTGTTATTGTTCTAAAGTGGGTGAATGAAACCAAATTGTTTGTGTATTCTGAGGTTCCAAATAAGGGGGTGTTACTGGCACATTTACCAGATAATAATGGAAGGGGGGAAGGATTTAAGCAATGAGCGACCACCCCAACAAACACAATAAAGAAGAGACCTAGATCTAACCCTAACCCTTACACTATCCCTACCCCTTAATCTACTCTGTCTCATAGTAGTTACTCGTTACGGTAGTCCTCCCCCCCCCCCCAAAAAAAAGGGGGTGGGGGGGGGGAGGGCACATTTGCCGATTAATAATAGTTGTAGTTCACATATATTTTGGAGGGGTTGCGAAAGAGTACTTGTACTTATTTTAGGAAGGGTCGCATAAGCGAGGAGAATTAGTGAAAAGTTGAAAAAGAATAAAGAGAACAATAATAACGGCAACAACATCAGGATCAAGAGCAACAGCAACATCATCAATATGGAAAAAGGGGGAGGGAGACAACAACAATAATGATTATGAGCAGCAGCAATAACATTAAAATTCCAGACCATTTTGGCATATCAAATACAAGTAGATCTAGCTTCATAAATTATTCAACAACAACAATGAAGGAGACGAGGAAAAGAGAACGAGAGGGAGAAAAATGGAGAGAGAAAGAAAGGGCGAGGGAGATGTGTGTACAACTCGCCATACTTGTGCCAAAGAATCTAGATCTATATCTAGAAATCTAGATCTAAAAACATTGAATGCATTGTTTTCTAGATCTTGACTGGGAGATTAGCCCTGAATTAGATCTAGATAGATCTAAACCAAAGAAACTATCTCCAGATGCGAGGAAGCCTAGATCTAAAACCTACATTTGCAATAGATCTATCTATATCTAGAATCTATATCTTGATCTTGATCTATATCTAGATCTACTTGAAACACAAGTTACGGCACTCCTGTACAATTGTGGTCCTATTTGTTTACATGACAGCCATTGTGGAAGTGGACCTAGTTCATAGATCTAGGCCAGATTTAGAGATCTCTAGATCTAGATTCTAGATAGCCTAGATAATCTACCTCTAGGTACAATCTAGATCTAGATATCTAGATTGTAGATGTAGATCTAGATTGGATATAATTTTAATTCAGTTTAAATCTAATAAGAAATGCACTACAGGTGCACTAAGTGCAAACAGGACCTCAATCAGGAGTGTCCAAGTTACAACACACGCTTTCATTCATGGTGAATACAAAGGTGTGTGTTTTGAAACAAATTTTCACTGAATAATACGCTATTCAAGCTTTATCTACCTACCCACAAATTGGCTTACCTTTCAGGGTCTTTAGGAAAACGAAAAAAAGCTAATTCTGGTCGTCTTTATAAAAAAAAATTAGTGCAGTTTATTGGGACACACCATTACAGCGTGTGTTCTTAGAATCAGCCATGTTTGTTTGAGTTTACCGCCCCAGTTCCTGTTGTCACGGGATTAGTGAGATTCCCTCTCTGGTCCAAGCTGTACTGTCTCATTTACATTGCTAGGTCTCTGGCGCCACTCACATAATGCAACACTTCTTTGTGTTATAGTTCGAGAATTGTTTGAAGAATTTTAGAGTAATTTTTAGTTGTTGTGGTGGGTGAATGTAAAAAAATTGTCAATGTTTTTCTGTGGGTGGTTGGCGGGTGCTCTGGTGTGGTTTGCTTCTTCTTTCCTATCAAACGTCTATCGTCTTTATCACCCCTCTTTCTTTTTTGTGTTTGTTACTCCTCTCCTGTAACACCTCTAATCTTCGCAATTATTTGACCTTATTGTGTTGCAAGTGCCGTAAAAAACTTATTAAAAGTAAAATGTTTCCTGCCACTGTGAGCTCAGTTTAGATCATTTAGGTGGCAGGGTTCTTTGACTGTGCCTGCCAAGGTGGTCTGGGATGTGTTAGATGTGAAGATACCATAGGAAAATGCAGTATAGAGCTGGAATATGTGCAATACTAATGCTCTTTTTGATAAGTAGTAGTAGTAGTAGTAGAAGTAGTAGTAGTAGTAGTAGAAGTAGAAGTAGCAGTAGTAGCAGTAGTAGCAGTAGTAGCAGTAGTAGTAGTAGTATTTTATTGCCTGTGAGTTGATGGTGTAAATGTATTATATATATTTCCCTCTCCCCCAGCTGCACTGCCTCTCCAAGCCCTTCCCTCAGCCCCCCACAGCTGGTCAACCCTCAATCTGCTTCCCTCCCTTTCACGCAGACTCAAACCTCAGAACCCACCGATGTACTGGCTGGGGTAAGTCTCTGCAGAAGTGTTTTAAGTCATTTTCAGTCCTCTGAGAATGATGCGGATATTCTTTACTTGAGTCTAGATCAGTGTATGTTTGATTGACAGCAAATCATCAGAGCCATTGCACATTGTTTTGAAGGTAAGATCATCATTTCCATATTCATTTCAATTTCTAAAGGTACTGGCAGTTATTTTTCTGTCACCCTGAGAAGCTAATATGGGTTTACTACCTCCATATTGCTCCGGTGTGGTTTTCCCCTTCTTTTCTATTGAGTATCTGTGTCCTTGTCTCTTCTTTTCTTTTTATGTTACGTTCTAGCAACACCTCTAGTCTTCAGTACTTATATAACCTATTTGTGTTGCAAGTACAGGTTACTAAAACTTAACTATTATATATGAACAACCCCCCCCCCCCCCCCCAACCACCACCACCTCCAGCAGTCCAACGCTGAATGTTCCAGTGAGGGAATGGGTTGAATGTGTCCAATCTCCCTTGAATTCCATTCAGACTTGTTCTTCATTATGACTTGTTTACTCTTTTCTTTTGTGGCCCCAGCCTCTCTCATCAGATGCACAGGCTTCCGAAGTAGCCCAGTGGCTTCACTATCATCGCTTCTCCAACTACGTACGGGTATTCCAGAGCTTCTCTGGTAAGGTGTTATTCTGGTTTTTGTTTTGTTTTATTTAAAAAGAAATTTTACAAAATATAAAACTTGAGACAGCTGTTTCCTTCAGTCTGTTACTGTGGGTGGTTGGCGTGTGCCCTAATGGTGCTTGCTCCTTTTTTCCTATCAGACATCGCTTGCCTTTTTTCCTTTTTAAAATGTTTATCACTATCTTGTAACACCTCTAAATCTCGGCACTTATATGACCTAATTGTTCTAAAGTGTTCTTGAGACAGCTGTTTCCTTCAGTCTGTTACTGTGGGTGGTTGGCGTGTGCCCTAATGGTGTTTGCTCCCTTTTTTCCTATCAGACATCGCTTGCCTTTTTTCCTTTTTAAAATGTTTATCACTATCTTGTAACACCTCTAACTCTCGGCACTTATATGACCTAATTGTGTTGCAAGTGCTTTAACATAGCTGCCACTTTTCCGCTAAATAGCGGAAACTCCTCTGGAAACTCCGCTTTATTTAGCTTTTCCCGCTACTTTCCTCCTTCCTCCGGTGGAACGCTCTCGGTCGCAAATTGTGATACTTTTTTTTCTTTTACTTGCGGAAAACACCGAACCGAGAGAGAGACGAAAATGCGGCTTGCGCATGTCTGCCCGTAGCTTTCTACTTTCGTTCTTCTGTGCCAAGGCCTAGTGCTACTTTGACATTGTTTATTGTGGAGCGACACAGTGTCGATCGAGGATCAGGACTTGGCGTGCCGAGTTGTCATTGAAAACAGCGGAAATTCGAGAGAAATCGATGCAGAATGCAAAAATAAAAGGAGCTGGAATGAGAAAGAAGCAGCCGGTGTGCGACTTGAAAAGTTCCTTTAGAAAATTTAATAAGCCGCTTGCTGCACTTTGCGTTTGGGGCGATAAAGAAATTGCGGCACTCCTGTTTAATTGCGGTCCCGTTTGTTTACATGACTGCTATTGTGGCTGTGGAAGTGAATCTATTCTAGATAATAGATCTGGATCTAGATAGCCCAGATAATCTATTTCTAGATATAATCTAGATCTACACATATTTAGATATCTAGATTTTAGATTAGATAGCCTAGGTTATAATTTTTATTCAGTTTAGATTTAAATCTAAATAAGAAACACACTACAGTTGCACTAAGTGCAAACAGGACCGCAATTGTACAGGAGTGCCGAAATCGCTCAGTACAGCGGCAAAGGTGTTGCCTCCCTGATCCAATACTGCTCTACATCGATGTACAAGTTTAAAGTGAAAGAAATCTTTTTATGAGGCACCAGTTGGCAACAATCACCTGATTTTTAGTCACCAAACTGTGTCAAATGCTTTTTAGTCAACTTAGTGCCTTGTTTTTTGGGTTTTTTTTCTTTCAAATACTTTTTAATTCAGTAGCCTATGGTTAACAAATATGACAGTTTTCCTTTCCAAAACCAAAGGCTAGATTTTCCAATATATTGCCTCTGGATCTCACTGGTTTTACTCCGGCCTTCGCTTGAATTTCTTCCTTTTTTGAAATTCCTAAGTGGCAGCTATGTTTAAATGCTTACCAAAACAAAAAAAGGTATCTTGCTGCTATGGCCCCTCTCTACCATTGCTCATGTTTGATGTACTCGTACAGCAGGAATTCTGTGATCCATTGCTGAATGACGTCTGTGGTGTTGTGGTTAGGCACTTCGTCATCTAAAGAAGAAGACCTGGCTTTGATTCTTGTGAAGCAATAATTTTTATTATCTTCATCTCTAAAGCGCGGGTTGGCCCTGAAAGGCAGGGTTGATGCTTGTCTTAAAGTGGTCTACACTATAAATTGTGGGTGGGTGGTTTGCTCCTTCTTCACTATCAAACATTTGTCGTCATTTTCTCTTCTCCTTTATTTTTGTGTTTGTCACTCCCCTGTAACACCTCTAATCTTCGGCACTTATATGACCTTATCGTCTGACAAGTGCAGCAAACATTCCTATTAAAACTAAAACTGTTTTGTCCTCAGGAGCAGATTTATTGCGGCTGAGTCGAGACGATCTTATTCAGATCTGTGGCCTGGCGGACGGAATACGATTAGACAACGCGCTGCAGGCACGGAGTATACGGCCACGTCTGTCCATTTATATATGTCAGGAACCCGAGTCCAGTAAGTAGCGAATATTATCATGTTAAAGCTGTGGTTGTAGATAATGAATGGGTCCGCAACTACAACAGCAGAAACAACAGCAGCTAAAAATCTTCACATCTCATGCGTGATTGCCACTTCATGGCTGTTCCTGAGCGGAGCACTTAGTTATCTGGGGAACTGACCTTTGCTCTAAGAGGTAAATATTGTGACTTAACAATTTTTGTACAGTTTGACGTGAAATTATTATCAACGTGAAATTATTATCAACAGATACAGGCATTCTTAGACTATACAGCAAATAACTTTTCATTGATATTCTTAGCAAGGCTCCCTTTAAAACATGAGGGCATCTATGGGAACAATTTTTACATGGGTCTACTTTTTAAAATCATGATATTTTAAAACGTGTAGACCAGATATCTAAAATAATCAATGATACACAACAGTGACATGATGAACTTTCAGAAACACTTACATTTAGTTTGATCCATTGAGAAATGGGGAACTTGTAGAAGATTTACTACTGTCCAGTTAATGAAACGAAAGATTTTTCGCTGTCTCCTCTTAGTTTTCAGAAATGAAGAACTTGTTGAAGATTCACTGCTATCCAATTCATGACACAAGTTTCCTGGTCTCCTTACAGCAAAAGCTGCTTTCACATTCATAAACACATGACATGAATACTCATAATAACAATAATTGCAAAAGTGTCTTTGTATTCACAGGCTAGTTGTCTCCCACTTTTTTCCTTTCCCAAGCCGCTCCCTAAGCCTAACAGCTTTCAACTCTTTCCCTTTTCCTTAAATTCCCTCTGTCCTCTTCTCCAGTTTTGCGATGCTAGAGTGCACTAGTTCGCCACCCTGCCCGCCCATTACACCCAGGCTGAATCCATACCTTTGAATAAAAGATAGACAGTGGTGCTCTATTATGTGTGTTGTTTGGAAGTGACTGTGTTTGGAAGTTATCGTCTGTACAGCTTCTAATATGCAGAAATTGTGGTTCCTTTAATGTCAAACCCAGTTTCTTTTATTTTGTGTGGATGGGTAATGAGGTGGTGTACTTCAGCATAGCTGCTGTTTAATAAATCAGATCTCTGTCTGATTGGGTGGGCTGCATCTATGATGTTTTGGTTAGATGTAAGAGCTACAGTGTATGTGCAAATGTGTTTTGTGATGCTTGTGTACAGTGGGCGTTTCAAGTATTGGTGACAGTGGTTTCCTATCAGAGATCAACTATGGTAAGCCTGGGATACAATGCCGTGCCCTTCCAAAACTTTGTCCAGACTGCCAGGGACAGGGCCCTTCTCATGTGCCGGTGGGTGTACTGTCACTTTCTCAAGTTTGTCAACACATGCTGCCAATACTTCCTGATATCTTTTTTTATCCCTGTCTCAGAAAAGACTAGACAGCCCTCCAAATGGATACGTTTCTCTTCTAGTTGTCTTTTTTTGACAGTTCTCCAACATACACGTCAAACTCAGAAAAGATCTGGTCATAACGGTAGTTCGGCTCTGATTAAAGTCTAAGCAAGCTTCATATCCAATGCGTGGGTCCCTCCCTCAAGCAAGTTGTGATGCTTGAGTGTGATTCCTAATAGAATATGAACGTAGGGTGGCACAACCTTTTCAGTTTCTATTCTTATCAGTGGTTCCCTTATGCAGTTGTGAAAACGTCAGGCTTTGTTTCCCCACTCATGTACAAAAAATCTCCTACAGCTAGCTTTGATCATAGCAAGTGTTCATTCTCTTGCGGGATCTTTGTGACTCTGAATATCCTGTGATTTGGTCAGACACCACAGGCAAGGGTAGGTTCCTCTGTGACCTGACAAACCGTACGTTTTACAAAAAAAATGTTGTAGTCCCCGAACAAGAACAGAAGGGTTGATTTGTCCTTCCGTTTCTTTGTCTGGAGACTTTCAATGCCGTTGAAAGAACTGCTTTCAAAACTTGATTTGAGATCTTTTTTTTCCCGGTGCCTTGATAGTTGGAGCAGACTTTGTGCTGTTGAAGCTAGAGAGGTGAGCAGAGTAAGTTTAATTCCCTGTAAGGACTTCTCTGTTGACATCCATTCCTTGGCGCTCATATGACCTTTTGCAGTTGCAAGCGCCGTAAAACCTCTACTAAAACAAACAAAACAACTTTTTCTTAAATCCCACTTTTGTGTAAACTATTGCGCCTAACTACTCCTGTCTGCTTCTTGAAAGTCTGTGATGCATGTTGGACCTCTACGTCCCCGTTGCTGCTCCCCCCGACTGTTTGCCTCACTTTACTTATGTGTGCCCTCTTGATACAGCTGATAAAGAAAATGATAACAGTCTGCGTTTCACGAATGGAAAAAAAATCCTGATAGCAATCCAAGAAATATGTGCACCACAAGGTAGGGTTGAATACAGAGGTAGTGTGTGTACACGCTCAGATCAAGAGAAGAACTAAAGAATGCGGGTTATTGGTGAGAGTCTGGGCTTCTATTTGATTTCTATACACCCATAGTGATAGATAAGAGAGGACATTTACAGGGGTTTAAACCAAGAGAAAATTACAGGCTTCTACCCAAAATCAGCTAACAGGGCTGCCACACAGGAAGCAATGCGCGGCCCGCCTGTCAGGTGGGATTTATAACCTCGGGAGGTCAGCGGACGGGTTAAACTAAGTGCTCCACAAGGATAGTAGAACTGAACAGCTGTGGCTAACATTGTCAAACACAACGTCATTGAATTCTCAGTAACATTTGATTAATATCAGCTGGCTATTGAAATGTACTAGGCCCAAAATTTGGAAAACTGTTTTTATTTCACTTTCTTAATCTGTGGTATCAGTTGCATGTGCTCCAGAAATATTTTTTCGAAATTCAAATTCTTAATGTTGAAGAAAGAAAGAAAAAATATATTATATGGAAACAATTGTTTGAAGAATGAAATACTTTTTTTCTCCCTCCTGAGAAATTTGCCTTTTGGGCTCAGTACATATTAACAGCTTACTTAACTGACATAAAAAAAACAACTTAACTGATAAAACTTTGTTCCTTTAAAAAAGGGGACACTCTCACCCCCCCCCCTCTCAAATTGAAATGAGTGTCTATGTTTTTGCTGTTTCAGTTTACCACGCTGTGTACATGGACTCTCTCACCCTGGAGGAGTTCAAGGCCAAACTCTCGTCCCTATTTGGCATTCAGACCCAACAGATCGGGGACATCTACATGCAGGGGCCCTCACAGATCCACATTCTTCTCACGGATGAGGTGGGTATTGGGAGTTGATGTGGGGCTGGAGTACAGATTTGGATCAGGCTTGCCTATTGCCTTATCGACGAAGCCACCATGAAAGAAGGCAAAGTTTGAGCAGGCAGTTGAGGGTTCAGTCTTGGGCTGATGATCTTCATGCTAATTTTTCCTGTGTCTGCCTTTGGAAAGTGATGATTTTCCCTATTTTGGTCTTAAAAAGTTGACAGGTCTTATGTTCCTGGGAAAATGGTACTTTAGCAATATCTATGTCTACTGTAGCAAAATGCATAGAAATTATTTTAAAATAGTGGAGTTGGCTTGTTTTCGTGTCGATTTTAGTGAGTCATAGAATTCTTTGAGTGTTTGATATTCATGATTGCTGTTTGTTCCAGTGGGTGGTTGATGGGTTTTCTGATGTGGTGTGCTCCTACTGTCAGTGTTTCTGTTGTCCTGTTTCTGTTCTGTGTAAAATGTGTCGGCTTTCGGGCTGACTGGCACAGTGACTCTATATCTTTTCTTGTCTCGGGTGGATGGAGGGCACCACTAGTCGGTAGAGCTGGGCAATGAGTCGCTTTAGCAAAATTTGGATAATATGTCAGTGCACCTCTTCTGCAAATAATATGATAGAAGCGCTTCTGCAGATGGGTTAGTATCACTTCAACAAACGGGTTAGTATCACTTCAGCAAATGAGTACACACACTTCAGCAAGCAGGTCAGGAAAGTGAGTTAGAAGTCTGAATTCGGACAATGTTTCATTGATAATTATCCGGTTATTCGGATAGATTATCTGGATTTTGCCCACCTCTACTAGTTAGTCCTATTTCCTTACTCTCCATGTAATATTTCTGTCTGTCAGTCCTGTTTTGTTCCAGAATAAAATGATGATCTTTGCGTCTATGAGCTTGTCTCTTTACTTGAGCAAACAAGTTGTTGTGCTTCTCTGTTCTCAAATGAATCTCAGCTTGTACAGGTCATTAATTTTTTAAAAAATGTTTATGTTTTAAGTTTCTATTTGGCGCCAAATATTTATAAGTTGCATAGAAACAAAGGAAATGATTTTTGATTTTAGAAGAGAAAAACAACAATCCCTCCACTCATAATTGAACAAGAAACAATTGAAATCACGGATTCGTACAAATATATTGGTCTAACAATAGACAACGAATTTACATGGCAAAATCATGTTAACAATATTAGAAAGGTAAATCAGAGGCTGTACTTTCTGAGGAGACTTGGGTCTTTCAATCTGAATCCATCCGTCCTTCAGATATTCTACACCGCCACAATAGAAACGTTGTTAAATTTTGGTATCTCTTGCTATGGTAGCAATTTGGGAAGACAGCACATCATAAAAATAAACTAATTGATCAGAAAGGCATCAGGAGCTATTGATAGAGACCTAAGTAACTTTGAATATCTGCACAAAACAAACGTTTTAAGTGGGTGGTTGGCGGGTGCTCTGGTGTGGTGTGCTCCTTCTTTCTTATCAAACATCTTTCGTCCTTATCTCTCCTCCTTCTTTTTTGTGTATATTGCTACTCTCTTGTAACACATCTATTCTTTGGCACTTATTTAACTTTATTGTGTTGCGAATGTCCGTAAAACGCTTACGAAAAACGTTTTGAAAAAGGCAGAAATAATGCTAAGTGACCATAGCCGCCCACTGACATCGGAATTTCATTTATCGACCCGGAGTAAACGATACATTTCCAAAAGAGCAAGAACAGACAGATATAGAAATTCATTCGTACCAATTGTGTAGTGTGTTTACTGAACACACAGTGCTGTTGTGCATTCTACTTCAGAACAGTCAAGAGCACGAACAACATTGAACATTAACATTAATAAATTAAACAACTTCTCGGGTTATGTTCCAGGGTTTAATAAGACTTAAAACGTTACATGATTGGGGCTTGTGTTGCCGTTGACATCTCTTTGTGTTCCGTGTGTGTGTTCCTCTTTCCTTGCTCTCTGCGGTACCGGTACTAACGATTACAGTACTAGTTATGCAGCACTGAAAGTGGGTACTTATAATGTTACATCATGATTGCTTACCTTTACAACAAGTGCAACAAATGGAACACACAGAGAGAGAGAGAGGGAGAGTTTTATGGAGCGGGTATTTCAGCACGTGAGACATGTATTTACTAATGTCCTATCTTGTTGTGCGTATGTGTGAGTGCATGTAAGCTTTGTAACATTTACTGCCATTGTAAACAACCAAGACAAATTTCTCCCAGTGAGATGAATAAAGATTGTCACTGTCATCATTGTCAAAATGTGTTAACACAGTAGTGAATGTTATGCTTCCATTAAAAAAAAAGACAAAACCTTTAGAAAACTGGAACTTTGTTTAGAAATAGTCCCTGATGATGATAATGACTATGATGATGATGGTCAAATTGTTGAGAATGATGTGCAGGACTGATCGTGATGTTAATTTATTTTGACTGCTCAGTGTAAAGCTTCGTCATCGGTCACTTTTTAAAATGACGTACGACAGTCTTACACTAAGCAGTCGATTTCTTTGTTTGGTGCCTCTATGCTAGGTCTTCTCGGGCTATCACGAGACGCTGGACATAACCCATCATTCCTGACTCATCGCACAGAGTGCGTAAAATTTGGAAGTAAGTCGTTATCAGAGTCTCTAACATTTGATATACTATGTTGCAGGTGATTCAGAATACACAAGATCAAGCTCGCTTTGTTGTGGAAGGAATGAAAGGTAAATGGAATACTTTATGAGAGGGAGAGAGAGGGGGGGGGGGGGGGGGGGGTTCAGCTCTGGCTTTGTTTTGTTTTCATTTTTTTCTCCTTAATTTTGGTTGTGAATGAAAACTTTCTCTGGCTGTGGAGAGCATTTGTATTACTCTGGCTTAGGTCAAGACCTTAGGTTTGAAACCTCTATGTTAAGTGATGGTATGTTGTTAGGAGACACTTTTTGTAAATGAAATGACCAATTATTTAGGGACTATCACTATAGATTGTAAAGGGCGTAGGGCTTACTATTGAGCGGGAATGTGCGCTATACAAATGCTATCTATTATTATTATTATTATTATTATCATTACTATTATCATCATCCATCCTTCTCTCCTTTTAATCGATATTGTATACCTCTCATGATGGCAGTGATTTATTTTCTGACCATTATACGGTCACTGCTACTTCCCTTGATTTTCTTCAGAGTCTCTCTTTTTTTTTTTTTTATCCTTCTGTTGTTTCTGTCCATTTGGCTTTTTGTTTTTCTCAGCTCTCAATGACCTTTTACAAGCCAGTTTGCTTCTCTTTAAATTGAGCACTTAGGAATGTTTACATGCAAACTGCCCCGTGAAAATCTCAGTTACTGGTTGCTATTGTGTTTTGTTTGTTGGTGGGTGTTCCTTCTGTCCAATCAGATTATATATATCATCCTTATATCTCCTTGTTTTGTTTGTATGTTACTCTTTAGTTACACCTATCTTGGGTGGTTGGCGGGTGCTCTGGTGTGGTTTGCTCCTTCTTTCCTGTCAAACATCTATCGTCCTTATCTCCCCTTCTTCTTTTACCCCCAGTGGGTCGGGGGGATATAAATAGACCCACTGCTTCGTCTGCAGAAGGTGCAACCCCCTCAAAGGCGAAGTGTCGCACACAGACCCCAACCCTCTGGGATCCGTGTGCGACTTTAACTTTGGTGTATCTTCCTCTTCTCCTTCCTTCTTTCTTTCTCCTTCTATCTTTCCTCTCACGGCTGACCTCATGTGCAGAAAAAAGAGAGGTCACCCATCCCACAGAGTGGGCGCCTCGTTGACCGTGAGGTGCGACCCTTGCGGAGGGAAACCGGGTACCTGTCGGTTGAGGTGAGATCAGTCTACGGACTGTCCCTCACCAACACACCTCTTTGGCCCAGGTTTTCCTCTTAGACGGGAGGGTGGCACGGCCCATGCCACTCAATCGGTTGGGAGTTGAAACAACATCAAGCCCTGGGTCAATCTTCACGGGAGGGTTTTATGCACTCTCGTGGAGAGTATAGCTCCGGGGTAGCCCTGGCACAGCTCTGGTTATCCGAGCAATGTGTCCCCTTGTTGAGCTCGATGGCGGGTGCGAAGCCCCAGAGTTGAACCACCTAAAAAACACACATGGATTCCTCTTCTATTAAAAACCCTTCCCCAAATCCCAACGTTGCCAAAAAGTCTCGGCTCGCGGAAGCGGGTGCGGCCGCAAAGCCGAGCAAACAAACTTCTAAAGGGAAAAGGACCTTTACGACTGCCTCTGCCCTCCCCCCTCTCAGGGAGCTTCCGCAGCAGCCGTACTTGACCATCCGCAGCACCAATGCGCAGAAAAAGATCACTGATCTAAACATATTCAAGACAGGAGATGCTCTAAGACAGGTTCTGGGATACCTTCCTACGAATGTCCAGAAACTGTCCTCTGGTGCTCTCCTCATCAGGTGCGCATCGGATAAAGAACTGGCCGGACTTGAAAAGATTACGACCTTCGGTGGTGTTCCTTGTGTTTCCGAGCGACACCAGAAGTTTAACCAGTCGAAGGGCGTGGTCCGCCGCCATGAGCTGAAGGGCTGCTCAAACCAAGAGATTGTGGATAACTGTGAGGGTGTTTTCGAAGCCCGCCGAATTACTATTCGGCGGGGGAGTCCACACCAGAAACGAACACAATAATTCTAACTTTTGATTCGTGCCGCCCTCCAGCCACCATTCGGGCATCATACTTGGTCTTGGACGTGCCACCCTATGTGCCGAACCCTCTACGCTGCTTTCAGTGTCAGAAGTTTGGCCATAGTCGCGATGCCGACGTGCAGCCTTGTGTCCTCGCTGCGGCAAGACTGGGCATCCTGAAAAGGAATGCAAGGCTAGTCCTTGCTGCCCAAATTGCGAAGGCCAGCACACAGCCTTCAGCAAGGATTGCCCCACTTGGATCCAAGAACGCGCAATCCAAGAGTATAAAGCACGAAATGGCTGCTCTTTTCAAGAAGCCCAAAAAGTTGTCTGCCCGCCAAGTATGACCCCGGTCCCTGGCCTGTCATATGCAAGCGTACTCCGGCCAGTCACGAAGTCGACCAGTGCTTCCACTGTCGACCCCCCAGAACCCGCAGTCAACAAGCGACTTACTGCGAAACACAAAAAAGTTCCTCCTACAACTGTGGTACCCACCTTCCAGGTATCACTGACTAACCGCTTTGGGGTTCTTGGGGAGGATGGGATGGACTCTTTTCTCCGCCCCCCCCCCCCCCCCTTCTCCCCCTCACCCCTCCTCTATTACTTCTTCTTCTTCTTCTTCTTCTTCTTCTTCTTCTTCTTCTTCTTCTTCTTCTTCTTCTTCTTTTTCTTCTTCTTCTTCTTCTTCTTCTTCTTCTTCTTCTTCTTCTTCTTCATCTTCTTCTTCTTTTTCTTCTTCTTCTTCTTCTTCTTCTTCTTCTTCTTCTTCTTCTTCTTCTTCTTCTTCTTCTTCTTCTTCTTCTTCTTCTTCTTCCACCTCACAACCCATCTCTCTGATGGAGATTGAGGTACTCCCTCCCCCCTCTCCCCAGCCCCCTCTGTCTGCTCCACCTCCCCCTACCCCTCCACTCCCCCCCACTACCAACGGAGGATGACATCTCCGGCCCCCCTCCCCGGCCTGACCCCGGGAAGGGCGGAGTCTGTCACTCCTCCAAATCCCCCACTAGACCGCCGTCCAATCCAGGACGGCAACCTAGAAAACACTCTGCCTCTCCCGCAAGGAGGAGTCAGAGTGTTTCTTCTAAACCGGGGCCTCCGAGCTCCAAAATAAAAACTAAAAAGTCATAATGGCGGTCCTGCAATGGAATGCCGGCGGAATCTGACCTTCCATTTCAGAATTGCAACACTTACAGGCCACACTGTGCCCACGTGTGGCCTGTATACAAGAAACAAAATTTGCCCCGGCTTCAACCATAGACTTAAGAGGATTTACTGCGTATCATCACATTCACACGCAGAACCAGATTGCTTACGGTGGTACCACCATCTACTGCGACAACAACACACTCCACAGACAAGTACATCTTAAGACGACCCTCCAGGCTATTGCTGTACGGGTCACCCTGCACAGACCAATCACGATCTGCTCAGTTTATATCCCACCAAATTACCCTCTCAAAATAACCCAACTAAATGACTTAAAGGCTCAGCTTCCAAAACCCTTTATTTTGCAAGGTGATTTCAATGCCCACAGCCCCCTTTGGGGAGACAAACCTACAGACCAGAAAGGAAAAATAATAGAAGATTTTTCATTACAAAGTAACATCTGTCTCTTAAATGATAGGTCCCCAACTTACAGAAACAGATCCACTTATGGCACTTCATCCCTTGACCTCACCTTTTGTACCCCTGACCTAGTCCCAGATCTTGAGTGGTCTGTGCTGGATGACCATACAGACCATTTCCCAATTCTTCTCCAACACAATAGCCTCCAAAACGATCCGATCCCAGAACGCTTCAACTTAAAAAAAGCAGACTGGAATGAGTTTGCCAATCAATGGTCCAAGATTCTGAACCCCACTTTCGACCACAATTACAATAAATTCCACGAAAAGCTTTTAGAAATATGCCAAAAACACATACCAAAAACAAAAACAAAACCCCGGAGGAACAAGATCTAGTTCTCTTGGGAATGTGAGGATGCAGTAAAGAAAAAGAAGGCATCGTATCGAAAAGCCATCAACAACACCACCACAGAAAACAAGATAAATTATTTAAAGGCTTGAGCTGAGGCACGTAGATGCCTCAGGGAGAGCAAAAGACAATCATTAAAAAAATACATCTACAAAATCAACAGCCAGACACCACTCAACCAAAGACACAGACACCATTCGGCACGTCCAGAGGCCGGAAGGAACCACGGCTGAAACACAAGTAGACATCGCAAACACAATAGCTACATCTCTCACCAAAAACTCATCCCAAGCAAACTACAACACCACTTTTCAAAACATCAAAACTAACAGAGAAAAACAACACCTAAACTTCCACTCAAACAACACTGAAACCTACAACGCAGACTTCACAATAGACGAATTAACATCGTGCATCTCGGACCTGGGCAATACAGCCCCGGGACCGGATGACATCCACAACCAGATCATTAAACACTTACCCTCAGAAACACTCACACTCCTACTACTATACATATACAACGACATGTGGCGGTCGCACTCCTTTCCGGAGTCTTGGCATCTCGCCACTGTCAATCCAATACCCAAACCAAACAAGGACTACACACACCCATCCAATGACAGACCAACCGATGGACCATTTTCACCCTTGACATAAAAAAAAGGCCTCAAGGGCACTCTAACATATTATTTCGGCGCCTTGTGCGAAACTTACGAAATGAGTTGGTGGTGAGGAAATGTTCAATATCTAAAGCTCTCTGCTCGTCACTAATCTTAACCATGATCTCAGCAGGCTAAGGTGACTTGAGAAAGACTTTCTGCAAACTTCTGTTGGCCTGTTAGACTACTGTAGCTTGCAATATGGCGCACTCGTTGGGTTTTTTAGTGGTTGACCTTATGCGAACTAGTGCGTTATGGTACAAAAATGGGGACATCGCTGAAAATGGGTTGGGTTTTTTTACGCGCTTTGTAGAGCAAAAATAATCTGTGATTAATCTAAAATGAATATCAGACTAATTCCTTTGGACTTCCAAATGTTTTGTCCAAATTTGAAATGCAAAACTTCAGTGTCGAGGAAAATATTTTTAATAAAGGTTGTACAGTTTTTTTGTGGATCACCCTGTGTTTTTGTTTCCAGTGCCGTATGACCATATACAAGTCAATTTGTTGGTGGTTGCTGGATAATCTTTTTGTGTTGCATGTGCTGTAAAACTAAAACAAGTCAGTTTGTTTGTACTTCTCTTTCACTTGAATACTTATGAATGTTTACATGGAAATTACTCCGTGAAAACCCCAGTTGATTGTTTTTTTTGTTTCCTCAGTGTCATTACATAAGTGCCTAATTTATCTTTTAAAGTTGGTGGGTGCTCTGGTGTGGTTTGCTCCTTCTTTCCTGTCACACATCTATCATCCTGATCTCTCCACCTCCTTTTTTGTGTTTGCTACTCTCCTGTAACACATCGAATCTTAAGCACTTAAATGACCTTATTTTGTTGCAAATGCCGTAAAAATCTTATCAAAACAGAAATACACCCCCCCCCCAAAAAAAACCCCCAAAAAAACAGTTAATTGGTGTTGTTTCATTTCATAGTGTTATTAAAGAAGTGCTAACGTCATGTTTTGAAGTTTGGAAGAAATTGAAGAAAGAAAAAACGCCCTGAAAATGACCAGTGAATTTTCATTTGCTGTTTCTTTTGTGTGTTTTCAGATGAAAGTGGTGACAAGTACAAAATTCTCCTTAAAACCGTCGGAGATCGATAGTGAAGCGCAGCACGGGAGACTGTTGAGGGAAACCAGGCAAAAGTTGGGTCTGCCGACGTGGATCAACGCTGTATGAACAGAGAAACAGATACTGTGTGTGTGTGTGTGTGTTGGGGGGGGGGGAGGGGAGAGAGAGAGAGAGAGAGAGAGACTAGGAATTGTGAGAGAGGGAGAGAGAGACTAGGAATTGTGAGAGAGGGAGAGAGAGACTAGGAATTGTGAGAGAGGGAGAGAGAGACTAGGAATTGTGAGAGAGGGAGAGAGAGACTAGGAATTGTGAGAGAGGGAGAGAGAGACTAGGAATTGTGAGAGAGGGAGAGAGAGACTAGGAATTGTGAGAGAGGGAGAGAGAGACTAGGAATTGTGAGAGAGAGAGAGACTGAGAAAGTAGTGAGAGGAATTGAGTCAAACAGAGAGAGAGAGGGGGGTTGAGAGAAAGGGGAGGTGTGGAAGGAGGAGCCTGAAAGTGGAGTCTCTTGAGGTCTGAACTCCTTGCCTGGAGTCTTGTGGATCTGAACTATCTCTCCTGCTCACAGTCTCAACATCCTTCAAGCAGCTGTCACCTCTTTGACAAATCGCTATCTCAGAATTACAAAGTTCTATCTGCTTAGTTCCTAAATCTGGCAAAAAAAATTTTGAGTTTCGTTACATGTCAAGCTATTTTTAATGCAATTTTGAAAAAAATGACTCCAAATAGTCTTACGATTTTGATAGGGCAGGTAGAATGTTTGGTTTCTGACCTCAGGGTCTTCGTAACTGATAATAGCAAAAAAAAACGTCATAACTTCGTAGTTCTAAGGTAGCGAACTGTCCATGTGGTCTTCAAGTGTTGTCGTTGGTTACCACATAGCGGGGATTCAGGGTTTTCTCCGGTTGGCCCTGACAATCAGGGTAGGAGCAGCCTGACTCCGAAGTGATCAATAGGAGTGGATAAGAGATACAATCTTTTTATTTGGGGCTCTACCAAATGGCTTCACACTTACTGGAGAAAATCTGGACAGGGGAAGTGACCCAGGATGTTGCACTGAAGAACCAAGTTTGTGAAAAGGAAAAAGGGATATTGACTATATGAAGCCTTCTATGAGGTGTTGGGCAGGATGTAACTGAAATGACTTCTATGAATGTCATTATTTTGAAATTGTTGTCCCATGGATTTCTGGTATACATTTGCTCGGAAAAGAATAGTACTTTTTACGGTCACTTGCTTTTTTTCATTGTAGCAGTCAAGGCTATGTTACAAACAGTACATGATTATGGTGCAAATCTTGTTTGAATCTTAAATGGTGCGAAATAGAAATGGGCATGATATGTGAGGGTTTTTTTTTTAACAAGGTCTGTCATATGTGGATGAAAGGAAGTAAAAAAGATACAAGGTCCTGTGATACAAGAGTGTGGTAAGCAACAGCAAAAAGGAGCCATGTTTTTATATTATGAATGAATTCGTAGGCCTCATTGAGGATTCTTGCAAATGTTTGAAATGGTTTCTGCAAAGTTTCCTATTTGAACTGCTGATAAAAGGATTTTCAGAAAATTCAAGACATTAAAGTTTAAAGTGTAATATTTTCAACGGGCAAATATGTTACTATAACTTTAAAAATTATTTGAAAGATTGTGTGTCCTGGTTTGAATAATAATTATGAGATTTCTGAATAATAATGTAAAATGTAAAATTTGTTTTTGGTTTGAATCTTTAAGCTGTCATGTTGGTGTTCTTAATTTGACTGGTGACACAAGTGACAAATCTTCATCTACCTAACTTTCATGTACCAGTTTTTATTATGCAGAACTGTAGTACCTTGACGTGCAGAAGATTATGATAATTTTAGATAGCATTTGTATAGTGCAAACTTCCCACTCAACAGCAAGCGCTAAGCACTTTTTACAATCTATATTATTACCCCAGCAGACCTGATAGCTTTCTCAATGTAAACTTCCTTGGAAGCATACAGTGCAAGCTGCCATTTTTAGCTGAAACACTAACATACTGACAAGATCTTTTGCTGTCTAAGGCTAGATACCATTTCAAACCTTGGTGAAGTGAGGAAAATTTGTGTAAAGTGCCTTTCCCTAGGACACAACGTCGGGCCCGAGGCTTGAACCCCTGAACCTGCAATCCCACAATTATGAGTCCGGTAGCCTAACCACTAGAGTACTGAAGCCACAGATTTGTTGTAACAAGAAATTACTTAACCATAACCCCTTTGTTGCCAGCGGGTATGCATTCCTACTGTCAGCACTGATTTTCAGCTGAGCTTGTTACCCAGGACAGCAGCCTAATGGCTCAGTGTTAATGGATGCGCTGTCTAGATCTAGCATTCTCGTGACACATATTTCGGACACTGAGCCTTAAATTGTTTCTCTTTTCGTATTCCCTATTTCCTCCCATCTTACTCCTAATTTAGAATAACCCGCAAAACTTAGTCAAAAAGTCAAAAATTTATTTGTCTTTTTAAAGTCATTTCGATGTTTAAGTTTTGTGAGAGCACGCAGCCGCCCGCAAGCCTAGATCTGCGTTTATCGATTGCTTGTAAGCCTAGCAGTAAAGAAATACGAGCAAATTTCATACCGATGCATATCTTTTTATTCCCAAATAGGAATCTACGCAGCGTTTGTGGCTAAGACTCCGTACAGAAAAATTAGAGCCAGGTTATTAGCGTGCCGTACATGTAACATCATATTGGCAATCAGGAGTGGCAAATTTTGCCGACTTCCGTGACGTACACGGTACGGCACAGGGCTAAAAGTTACGCATTTTCATGACGTACCAGGTAAGTCAGAAGGCAACAAAGTGGTGAAAGTTCAGAAGAGGTCATGCAGTGCGACGCAATTATTTTATCTTGGTGTGGAGCAGAGGTAGTGTTATGAGAAATAAGAAATATATTTTGACCTCAGTGTATGGAAAAGTTGTAAAGTTTTCTCTTCATGTTTAGAAGCAATATAATGTGTGTGAGGTTTTTTCTGTGTCTCCTCTGACTTTTGCCTGTGTTTTCATCCAGTGAAATTATGTGCGCGCCTTGTTTATCTCTTGTGTGTTGCAATTTCATGTAGATTTTTAAAAAATGAATGATTTACTATTGCCTTTCATGTAGAAAAAAATTATCGTTTGAATGTAAAAAAGTTGAAAGATGTGCCGTATATTGTGTGGTTAAAAGTTGAGCAGTGTGCAGTATCTGAAAGTGAAAGATTTGTTGTTGTTTTTGGTTAGTGGGGGCACTTTCATTTGTTGGCCAATACATTCAATTTGTATTTCTGCTATTTTGTCCGGGGTTTTTTCCCCTTTAATTATTTTTTTAAAATTTTGGTGCCAGCTGAAGTCTGTGTGTGTGTTGAATATGTTTCCTCCTTCAGGAAATTTCTGCTCGTCTTTGTGTTCTGATGAGGTTTCAAGTAGCGTACATTTGAAGTGATCTGTTCAGTGTCTCAATGATAGATAACTTTAAAATTAATTTTTGATAGAACTGTGGACTTTGCTCACAATGAACTCCATTAAAAATGTTTTTTAGGTATAGGTGTGTAGAGTAGGGTATCGCTGGAAGGTCCTACTTTTCTTTCCTCGCTATCTTTTCTGTTTTGTTTTTTTTCTTTCCTGTTATCATGTAGAGCAACTTCGCGTTGACTTTAAAGTAAGTAAGGTATAGTGATTTGGGGGGGGGGGGGGGGGGGGGGC